CCCCTCCCGGCAACAAGTTGATGTTTGCCGATCCAACGGCAAATATATCCGCCATAAACTCCAGTGATGTAGTTGTAAACCAATGAACACCTATTTTTGGTGGCCCAAAACATAAGTGTCCTCTTGACCCATGGGCCGACAAAAAGACTTCGGGGCACCAGCCTCGTTCTCTGAGATAGTTTCCCATCAGCTCCAATTTCTCAATGGCATTCCTGTGCGGTGTTGTGTCTGCGCCCTAAGGAATACTGCAATCATATCTATAACCCAGTTATATCCCACGAATATGGGACTTACTAACTACAGGATGGGGCCCCCAAGATAGCTAAGTTGAGATACAAGGGGCTTAGCTATGGTTTATGGTAGATAGAAGTATAGTTCATGGGGTTTTTGTCAAGCAACTTACAACTGAGGGGCACCATCCTGTAGGGTTGATGTTAACCATCGATTAAGTGGATCCATTTAGGGATGAGGGGGGTATCAAGCATTTCGATGGGTGCTGATATCTTTTCACTGCTTTCCACTGAGCAAAAATGATGTGCTGTCCACTGTTTTATGAATGAATCGCCCAAATGAAGCGATAGAGTATATTATGCATATGTAAACAATTATATACTCATATGATATCCCCTTAGTTCCAAAATGAAGATGCTCTGACACACAGTTACTAACCCTTCACAGACTTGAGGGGGGGATCCCTACAAAAAATAAGCAGGTTAGCCACCCACACAACTTGAGACTTCAATAACAAGAATATTATATACATTCTACAAACTGCGGCCTAAACGATAGGTAAATGGGTAGTTCAATATATATATATATACAATACATATTATATATATATGGGCGGACAGATGGGCTGAACAAAAAGTAGATATATGCAGGTTTCCCAAAATGGGGTACCCCTAAATGCTCAATTTTAAAAGGAATTTCCATCATAAACAATCCATTTGGAATCCATTTGGGGGGTTCCACCATTTTAGGAAACCTCCATGTCTACAGTTGGATGAACGACAATATCTATGAACCAATTCAAAGATCGCAAGATTGGAGGAGACACTAACTTGGATCCACCTTGCATTTCAAGATCAACTTCTATCAGCCTTCGTATCTATAGATGTGACATCACCGAATGATATCCGTGCAATTCCGATATTTTTAGATATTTGTATCTGGGGGGGGTCCTCGCTACTCGGCAAACAAACATCATTTCAAACCTGGAATTGTGGCTGGGGATGTTTTCCCAATCATTCCCATCATTTATTGTGAGGCCGGAAGGCGGGGAAGTAATTTCATGTAATTTCCCTACATGATGGGGCCCCCAAGATAGTTCAGTTGCCTTATAAGTGGCTTAACTACGGTGTATGGTAGATATAACTATAGTTAATGGATGTTAGTGTGGTTTTTAAACCAGCTTATAACTGGGGGGCACCATCCTGTAGAAACAGCAAGAAATCCCAGTCTCGTTTTTGTGATCAATTTCTCATGAAATCCAAGATTCGTTGCACCGGTGATGGTGACATCCCCATATGGCTCATAGAATCCCAAGTTTATACCAATTCCCCATCAGTCCTCATGTTTTTGCGGAACTTGTGTCCCATTACCAAGCCATTCATAGCCACAAAACCTTAATTCTTCTTGACTTTTCCCACGCCTGATTTTTGCGCCAAAGTTTTTTTCCCCACTAAGAGGTCCCCTTTTTTTCGTCCAAAAAGGAATCTCTCCAGCAGATCTGGTGCCTGTGAAACATGAGGATTTGCGCGATGTATTCTCCTCCGTCCTGCAACACGACCATGATGGCCATGGGGCGGGCGATAGCACCAGTTCTTCTTCGAGGAAGAATCATCCAGTAATGGAGATAATAAGTCCCGAATAATATATATATATATATATATATGGGTATGTACGTAAATAATTGTAAATGTATTGTTATACTGTAAATTATGGCAGTATTTAATGAATTATAATAAAATACACTGTAATAAAATATAGTATGATATAATAAAACAATATATAACATTATATAACATTATAATTATCATATATATATATGTACATATATATATATATATATACACAGTAAATATATATATATTATGATCATATGCGCACCAAAAACAGAACATTCAAAAGTGTTTTGACGCAAATCAACTTCTGTTTGGGGACACCCATTCTTGCCCATTGCGCCAACATCCCCTGCTAGGTTCAGGCTTCAACAGCTGGATGAAGCTCGACAAATGAATGCATTTTTTTGTGAAAAACCACCAACATGATGTACGCAATCTACACAATTTTGTCCTGTAACTATGTAGGCTTTTCCAAACCTATGCTACAATTTGAGAAACACTGTATTTGCAACATGTTGGAAACTAGCGGGACGCCTGAATTCAGCAAAAAAACATTTATCTTTCTCATGCTTGTGAGCCATGGGGCACCATATCTTTCACTTACGCTCCATTAATAAGATCTTTAAAGCATACGCTGAGTCAGAGTAAGTATTTGGAGTATGTTCGATGAACATGTGATGAACATGTGATGGACATCCCCTGTTACAATTCCGGGTCCTCGCCGATGTTGCAGTAGTTCAAGGAGAGTTGTCTCAGCGTGCAATTCCTCAGCGAACATGCCGGTAAAATCACTGGGGGCGTTGTCTCAGGGTGTATAAATTGGATACACCGCCTTCCCCATTTGTGAATCCAAGAACCCACCATTCGCCGGTCTATTGGAACCCCAACATTCATCGGTTGTATCACTCGGTTCTATTGGTGCGATTTTGGAACCTCATTTTTCCGAGACATACCCAAATATCATGTTTTTGCTGATATAATCTTATATATCCAGTGACACCCCAGCAAATATCCCGTTATAGTCTATAATAACGCATTGACACCCACAATATGCTGGTTTCATACCGGATTCCTGTCAGGTAAATAAACCATAAGTTGCTTTCATTCCGTATATGGATCTCTCTCAAAATTGGGTACACCAGGTATATCCCCCAAAATGGCAGTTTGCTGGGGAAAATCATGGTTAACCAGCTAACCATCAAAATGTTGGGATACTGTATTTTCAGACAAGCCATTGTTAAAGAGTTATCTCCCAAGTATGCGCACCTGTCTCTCAAAAAAAACTTCATAATTACAAGTCTTATGTTTTGAAATGACACTCAGATGACAGTTGGTTGGATTTATTTATACATATTATTCATAGAAGTCTATAAATTCATCATGCATTTGGTTGGATTTCAGATGACACTCTGCAAATGTGTGATGCCGTTTCTACGTCGGTTCCTGAGCTTCCCAGCTGACTGAGACCTTCCGAGAGTTTGATGACGCCCGGAGTCCCAAACTCAGCGGTGACATCGATGCAGCCGTGAAGAGGATTCAGCCACAAAGATGAAGATATACATGGGAGAGTGCCCGCTTTAGAGATGCTATACTTGGGAATGTTGATGATTACTAGTTTGTAATTCACGCAAACATATGCACAAACCCTGGACTCTTATCATATGTCCCAAAATTACATATGTACACGGATGATGTAAATGCATGTAATGCCCATACCAAACCTGGTTCGTGGTTTCAACGTACCCCTCTGAAAAATGATGGAGTTCGTCAGTTGGGATCATGACATTCCCAATATATGGAAAAATGTTCCAAACCACCAACTAGTAAAATAAAACAGTTATAAGATGTTATAAGTGATAACCCCATTAAAACCTATTGATGGGTTATGATTGGTTCAACCTAATTAATAAATATAGTCAACCCTCTCTGGTTGCTATTTTGAAATCCCCAGTTTCCTCGGACCGATGTCCCAGCCCTGTTTGTTGAGCACCGTGCCTGGTTGAAGTCTAGTCGAAGCAAATTCACCATCTTGTTCCCGTTGGGCCTCAAGAAACAACGGTTGTTTCACTCCGTAGCCATGGTGGTTCTAGTGGAATAGACGAGGATTTGATGGAAAAACATGGGAAGGTAGAGGGATGTGTAATAAATAAATAATATATACCTAAAACATCCGAAAACATCCGAAAACTATAACTGGTAACCAAACATTGGCTGCAAAATCCTCAAACGAAATGGAGGTTTCTAGCTGGGAAATTCATCGAACAAAATGGTGGACTTTTCATTGCCCTATTTGAATCCTGAAGGTGCACACAGATGATCATTACCTTTAGTATTGAATCATCCAACGTTTGGGTCCAAAACACATCAACCATACAAGTACCCAATGTACCATATGAAAACAGTGCTGTGACCAGCAGAAAGCAAGGTCCATGACCAATAAATGATGGAACTGTATTTAGTCATGTCCCTGATCACGACATAAACACCCACCGAGCCAGAAACCCTGGTTCATGAATGAAATGTTCGAATAAGACAATGTTTTCCTCTTTTCAAACATTCAGAATTCATCAGAATTCCGTGATCCTATGTTGAGAATGAACAATCTGAATCCACGCAGTGCACACATATATATATATATATATATCACCACATGTAGAGATTATGTCATTTACAATTCACTATCTATCACCATGTATCACCATCGACGGCAAAACCCTGCCTATTTGGCATGTCTCTGCACGATTCATATGTAGCTGTTCACTATATCTATACAATATTAAAACATGTTAGCCTATACATACATACATATATAATCATATATATATACACAGCACTATGTAGTGTATATATATATATATGTATGTACATATATGTAAAGAGAACACTTTGCGTAAGCTAAGTAGATGTACTTTATATATGTATACATATTGACAACAATCTACATATCTATGTCCATCTGTCACTACAAATCCATATCTACACATAGACATAGCTCTGTGCTCTGTACAGTATCCAACTGTATCTTCCTATGCTATCAACATCCCCAATGAAACAAGTTGGTATAAATAAACCCAATTCACTATAGTCATAAGATAATTTCTAAGTATCAATGAACCATAGTTCTTGATAGTGAAATTGGAGGTATCAAAAGTTATAAGTATCATAAACGTATCATAAACCATCATATTACAAGCACCCTCTGGTAAACTAACATAGCTATGGAAAATCACCATTTTTATTTTTACCTAATCAACGAACTAAATGGGCCATTTTCAAGTTCGCAAACTCTTAGTTTACCAGGCCGGGTAGTTCTAGGTATCATAACTCCATATCCTTCCGATGCTTCCAACATTCACCGTCCTGGGTCTCCCAGACCCCAAGGTACGACCCAAGAACTCGCAGCCCAGCTCCGTCACACCGTTGTCCATGAACTGCACATCCTACGGAATGATGCAACGGTGCCACCAGCCCAAGGGCTTCGGAATGGCGGAGGTGCTGAAAAATGATGGTTTAAATGGGACTTAATATGGGATTTAAGCAACAATCATGAGATCTTTATGGGCTTTAAAACCAAGAATTGAATTCGGTATATATTTTATATAATTTCAAGATTTCATAAATCGTTATCATTGACTATGAGCAACTTTGGGGGTTGAATTGTGGCTTGATGAGATTTAATGGGAATTGAATGGGGAAAAAAACATGATTGTGGAATACAATGGAATATAGGTAGCCCACGATATGATATTTTGGTGTGTCTGAAAATGGGATATACAACATGTATGGCAGTTTCAGAAAGGAAAAATGCTGATTAACATCGATTGTCTATGAAATTCAATGGTACACTATGTTCAAACAAACTCATCTAGAAGACCCATGAAACCACACGGAAAAGATCGACAAATAGTGCATTTGTCCACATGTTAGTTTACTAGGGGGTATATCAACAACCAAAGTTTGGTGGACATATCCAAGAGAAATGGGATTGAACATACTATGTATAATATATATATATAACTATTAATTACGTATATATATATATATGTGTACGTGTATACGTATATATATATATAGATATAGATATATACACTATTACATCAATAAACATGAGATGTTATGGGTTTGTCTGTCCACAACTGGGGCATCTCCCGTTCATATCACCGGACTGTCTGTGGACCGAAGATGTGGACCTCACGGATTTCTTCAGGTTTCCGACTCACAAAACTGAGACCCTTTGAAGGGGATGATGGGATGGTTGGATTTCTTGCTTTACTAACATAGAAAAGTCAAAATCCGACTCAAAAGACGATGGATTGATGGATTAAGAGTTGGGAGTGAAACCATAGTCAAATACCCCTCTTGCTCGCTGGTTGGTTTATTAATAATGGAACATCCTATAATGGATGCATTAGTATGATACCCTGTGCATCCAGGTAGCTTCTGAAAGGAAGTATGACTGGGGTATGATGACGTGACTCGGGGGTTACATCCAGGTAGGTGGAATGTCCAGCCACGTTGGATTACAGGAGGCTTCTTTAGATTAAGTTTAATTTACTTGCTGGTTCATCCCACTTAGTAAGTAGGTTTATTCACCCCAGTTGTAAGTGGACTAATTAACCCTACTTATCCCACTTAGAACCAGGGATATAACCTACTTAGGATTCGTGGGATCAGCCACCAAGTAGGAAATTCAACCCAGCTTGTGCGATAGTTAGCTAATAAATGCTAATAATGCCATCATCGTTTCCCCCTTTTCTTGTTTTTTTTGGCGTCCCATGACAGACCCATTTCTGAATATTTTGACATCCCCAACTTCAGCTGGGGCGCCTTCACTCCCTGCTCACCGGTCTGCCCCTCCAAGTAGTAGCACCTCAAGGGATATTTTTGCGGTCAGAAGGAGAACTCCTATAGAAGATTTCCAGTGTGAATGGGAAGGGCACTATCGAAACGATTAAAAATTGGAGGTAAAACGGTAAAATCAACAAAACCTTGTAATAAACTTTTGAAACAGCCAGTTTTACTGAATCTGACACTAAAATTCAAGAGCTCCACCATCTTCAATCCTGCAACCACATGTGAAACTTGGTCTGAACCAGTGAATGCCTAGATTCAGGTGAATTTCATATAACTACTTATATAACGCTCTCTTGACATATGTTTGAAAAAAACACGACTTTTCCAGCTAAAAATCTCCATTTATGAGGGATTTCCCGTTCCATATTTGATTCTTAGAGGGTATCCCCCACAACAGCCGAATGTTCTATGATCTCCGTATTTCACTTTGAACCGGCCATGTTGTTTTTGGGTCGAACTGTCAGACTCTATATCCTGTGTTTCACACTCCATGAAATATTCCACATGTTGAACAATAAAATTATATCTGGTTGGTGGCTTCAATCCCTCTGAAAAATATTAGTCAATGGGAAGGATTATCCCATATATGATGGAAAACCACCAACCAGATAGGGTTTTATCATTATGAATGAGTAAGTCATCTATATGTATACATTTCCTCGGGAAAAAAACACGGCTACTGGTATTGAAAATTGCCCAATTTAGTTCCATGATTTACCTACTAATGCTGCACTGATGCTTGGTTCACATCGCTCTGTCACAGTGAGCCAGGAACCACAACCTGGTAGCTACTCCAGTGTGGTGTAGCAACCACGTGACCATGCCATAGTCAATCGCAGAGGATGGGCCATGAGCCCATCGATGGGCGGGAGCCACATGGGCCATAGCTTTGCTGAAATTACCATTGGTAACTCCAACATCATATCAAGATACATCAAATTATCAAATTGATTAATTTTGGTTAATTACATCCAAAAACCTCCCATCAAAAAAGGCTGCCTTCCCTATGAAATCTCAAAAGCAACTCCTTTTTTTAGTCACCAAAATGGCGTTGCAAATTGATCCCATTAAACGCATCACTGCTCCGCTGAGGTCATCACACGCTTCGAACAGCCTGCGGCGGCCAGGCATGACAAACATTAATGGTGGGCTAACATGAAACACCCAGCATTAGCATGAACATGTACATTAATGGTTCTTAATGGATCTTAATGGTTCTTTATGGTTCTTAATGGTTATTAACCTAATATGGGTAAAACAATGCCATTTATTGCACGATCCCGCAGTCATCACCATAAATGGTATGGTTACCATTCCCAGTCATGGGTGGTGACATTGTTTTACCCACATTATATCATCTATCACATGATATCACATGTAAGTGTATAGAGATAATATACATAGAGTTGAAATGGGGATAAACAATATGTGGTGACCTGGTCTTACTTTGTGTTTTAAACCCATGTATTGACAACTATGTATTCAAGATCGAACTCAAACAAATCTCGAGTCTTTTTAAGACCGAGTCCTATGTTCAAAGTCGTGAAATGTAGAGCTTTAAGTGATGACATCAACTCCCAAACAGAAAACATCTTTGAAACAACTACTGTACTGTTCACAACAAAACGGTTCGGGTTACGCTGAAAGTTATGGGCCTTCTCTCCGCTACCAACTTTGTTCTGTTTGTTGGTTTTAGTACCCATATGTAAGTGTTTAACTTTATTTGTTTCATTGCCCAACTGTACCCAAGTCAAACTCGTTAACTATAGTTGCCCCTTAGTTATCCTAGTTGAGTTTGTTGGTTTAGCAACCGTTTAAGTATAGTTAATGTACAGTAACTATAGCTGCCCCAGTTTGTTGTGTTTGTTGGTTTAGTATGGATTAGTAATCGATTAGCCTCTGGTATATTAACATAGACCCTGGCAGATAGGGGTTGGAAGACTAATTTCCATTAACAATTGGTGATTTTCAGGGTCTATGTTAACTTACCAGGGGGTAACTATAGTCAATGTTTCGGTTCATTTAGTGCTGCTTACCGACTCAGTCAAGGACCTCACATGGGGACCGTCCAGACTTCTCCAGGTGCCGCCCCAGTTCTGGTGATTTACAAAGCCACCTATAAAAGAAAGCCAATGTAATATTATATATATATACTTAATATATATATATATATATAGACTTCATATATGTAATATATATATATATATTATAATTATATATATATACACATATTACGTCGTGTATAAACATGTGTATAAATCTATACACCATGAATAAATCAACTGCAAAAAAAACATTCTGTCCTGGTGAAATCAGCATTTTGGCCAACCGCCTTGTGTTGCCGCGTCACCCCAAGCACCTTGTCTCCATCGCCACATTTCCAGAGACGAATGGCTTCGATGTCGTTGTATCCAGACTGCAAGGGGCGGATGTCGACACGAGTCGTTGGCTTCATTGGAAGTTGGGAAAATTACTAGAAACATCTAGAAACCAGGTCTTTTCTTGGTTTTTTACCAACTGTAATACTAGAAACATCTAGAAACCATGTTTTCTCTTGGATTTTTACCAGTTGTAAATAGCAAACGCAAAAATATAGGCGCCATGGAGAATATTTGTTACCATGAATCAAGGGAAACGTGCCAACATATCAGGATTTCCTGGTTCTGTTCAACTAGGTCGGAATGGGCCCAAAAAGTGTCATCAGAATTACTTACAGGGTGAGGCCCCGCTGTAAGTTGCTTTTATTAACCTATTAACTAGAGCTATATCCACCTGATCAACCCAAACGTTAACCAAGTGAGGACTCACCTTGTAAGTATTTCCCCCATCGGTTGTCATGAGTTTCCATCCCCGCTTAGTTCTAAAACCAACGTTGCCTAGTATCTTAACTTCCAAATTAATCCAAATAAATGTATTATAACATCCATATAACATATAATATCCATATGATATCCATAAATGTATTGTATCCATCATGAGCCCATCCATATTCAATGTGAACTCCCATGGCCAACCCACATAAATCGCCTGTCGAAGTGTATGGCACAGCACTTGAAAGGCCATGGAGTCGAAGCTGAGGCGCTGAATCGTTGGGGATGATGGAGTTTAAGCAGCAAAAAATGATGGTAGATATATTTTTTCTAGTAGCCTATATTTTTTAATGGTACATTGTATTGGTAAGCCATTGTATTTACATATTTATAAATGGTTAAATTTATAGGTTTCCATTTATAGGTTTCCAGTTTACCATATAGTTTCTCGAGTTGGTGATATACCTACTATGAAAATTGATGGAGTTCATCAGTTGGGGTGATGACATTCCCAACTGAATGGAAAGTCATAAAATTCCATGGTTCCAAACCATCAAGCAGATATTATATATGGCCATTTATAGTTGATTTACCTATTAAAAATGGTGGATCTTTCCATAGTTCCATAGTCGGGATAAACCAAACCACCAACCAATTTAGTAACCAACCCAGTTGATTTTTTGATGGTAACATGGTTGATTTCACTGGGTTTCTATAGTATGGCGTTTTTTTTTAAATGAGCATGGATACCATAGGCAAAAGACTAGTGTTAGGATAAGTCTGCATACCCATCCAAGATTGACCTAGTATCGGTTTTCTAATAGTACAAGACATTTTTTGTGGCTGAATTCATGATAGATAATGTGTCTGTTTAATGGTAGTTATAGTTTCTAGTTAATAGATCTTAATAGCATAAGTGATAGCATCAACTTGTGCCAGAAAACTATTGTTAGCTATGATTTATAAATTGTCTAGTTGGCATTTATTTGGTTTTTGGAATTTACATAACAAGGAATCATGGTTGTGATAACTATAGGACATGTGGTATAGCTGTGATGTATCGAACATTGAGGGGAGTTATAGACCCAATCTAATTAGTTGGATCTATCTAGCATAAACCCAATCGTTAACCCACACATAAACCACCTTAGCCAAGTAGGGGGCACTTACTTGTATCTACATGTATCTACCTGGTTATTTCAGGGAGATAAGCAGGCTTGGTTCAATTATAGCCGAGGTGTTCAACAAATTGCTGAGAGGGATGAACCACCAAGTTTACGAAGGCTTTTCAATGAGCTCAGAGAGGTGGCAGTATGTCTGGCTGAGACGCCTTGCAGCACCTTGCAATGTCATAGATGCCTTGCTTGGTTGCCGAATCTACAGGCGCGAACCACTCATAGTTGCCGTTCAGCAAGCTGTCGAGGTCAGTTCCCTCATCGGCGATGGCCCGAAAGCCGCACTTGACCCTCGTTCGCGCCATCCCGTAGACGAGGTCTGCGATGTGTGGCCCTTCGACGACCGGCACACGAACATCTCTCTCGCGAGAGGTGGAGAACCTTGTTCCGAGAGATGTGATAGCCCATCTTGGCCCATGCCAGCCCCACGCCTGGCCTAAAAGCGTTGAGAACTGCATCCGCCTGAGGAGGAACTGGATCCGCTTGATCCGCTGGAGGTGCCCGTGGAACCTTGGGAGGCGCCGAGCACTGGAAACCAGGCTGGAAACCAGGACCGTAAGCAAGGCCCTCTTACCGAAATAAGTTGTAGAGCGTCGAAGGACACGTAGTGAACATGAAACACGAGTTGGACTCTGGGCCGTCCGCGTGGTGCCGGGTGTAGAAGTCCCACGATGCAGCGTGGTGTCCCAGCGAGCGTGGAGCTGTTGCTATCAGAAGACATGATGTTAGGGAACACATGCTTCAGGCAAGCCATCCGTGTCGCTTTGGCAATGGCCGCATACATTCCTGTTGTCATGTCCATCTTGCGGTTCAGGATCCAAACTGTGGCTGTCATGGCATAACATTGACTCGCTAGTAGTTTGAAGCTCTCTGCGCAATATGAAACTGATGAAAGATGTCAATTTGTTTAAGGGGAGCAACTCGGAGCAACCATTTAAAGACAAATTTAAAAGCAGCAGCTTTGAGATCCTTCAACAGGTGAAAGATCGTGTGTACTTCCAGTCCATCCTGAAAGTGTACGAAGAGCATCTTTGGTTCATCATTGCAAGCTAGGCTGAACATCAAAACAATACGCAAATGCGCAACAAAACTACCAAACCACATTGGATCGTAACTATTTACCTTCTTTCATATTGGACCCTGAGTATTGGATCCGTTCATGGAGCGGTGCGCCATTTCGGATTTAATGATCGGGGATTGGAAATACCCTTGACGTTGAGTTGTTTTGCCAATTAGCAATGTAGCCATTTTTGGGAGGATCCCAGTGGTGCGTGAAGAGGGTGCCCAGCACCATCCCAGCTTTCATTTTCCAAGCTGCTCCGCGTCGAAATTCCAGCTTTTCATGTCTTCACCTTCATCCTTGGCTTCTTGCAATCTGGAAAGCCATGTTTTTTTCAGGTTTTGGAATATTTTTTGTATATTAAATTTATTGAGAAATAACTAGGTCCTACTTAGATGGGCCATGGAGTTAGTTAACTACTTAGTAAATGAATTATAATTGGGATATAGGGGGTTACATCCCCAGTTACAAACCAATTAGCTAATCCCATGGTCCATCTAAGTAGGTCCTAGGTCATGCAAGGAACATATGAGTTCGTTCCATCCCATGGAAAAACCAGTGGAATCTTCATCGATTGCGACCCGGTTACGGACCGGGAGAGCAGTACAAACACGCCATGACAAGTTGTGAAAAAAACGGTGAAGGTGGCGATTGAATGTATCATCAACTAGTAACTACTGGATACATATATATATATATAAATATCATGTACTGTATATGTATATATATATACACCTGGTTATATATATATATATATTATACATACATTAAATACGTATGTATATATATACACACATGTATAAATATAAGTAAATATACATACATGTAGAATCATATTATATACATACGCATGTATAGATATCATTACATACATTTATCGGGTCACGACAACCTCATGATTGGCCCTGCGTTGAATTTACATATCCAACTTTTGGGACGAAGTATGGATTGTAAACCACGGATCCTAAGTTGGGCCCGCACATCCAAGTAAGGATCTAAGTTAGGTAATTAAGGTCAATTAAGTATGTCAGTGTCCATATCTGGGTGTTTTATAAGGATCTCACTGGAATGAGGAATGATGAGGTCGCCGTTTCTCCATGTGGTAAACCCACTGGGAATGTTTATTTTTGGGTGTGTCTGAAAGTGGGGGATACACCCCAAATACATCCAAATACGCCATCTCATGGGGGAAACATGAAGCTTTGATCCGGAAATGATGGCTACCCCATTCCCAAAATTTCCCAAACCAATCCTTATGGTAAGTGAAAACCTAGATATTGAGGCAATGACTTACTGGTGCTTAGTAGGGAATTTTCGGGAATGATCCACAAGAACTATCAATTTCATCATCCCATTCCCCCATTCCCATCCATTCCCTACGTTTAGCACCAGTAAGATGAAATGAAATGCTTCCTCCAAAAGTCCATCTAGGCCAGTAGGATGTACGGCTTTAGTCGGCAAAGTTACTACTTGATTATCTGATGCTATGAAGTTACCGCATCTTGGCACCTGCAGTTATGGCCCGAAATACCAGTTATAAGTACTAACAAGTCACCCCATTTATAGAATGTATAATCCCCTAGAAATAGCAAGTTATAGCCATCATTAATCACTGCTACTATGAACCATTACTAACCACTATTCATCACCATTATTTAACTGTAGATTATTATAATTATTAACCACTAATCGCTATTAGCCCATCACTATTAGCCCATAACTATCGCCCCTGAGTTTCCCCACGATCTTTTGTAAAATCTCTTGAACTCGTGCAATCTTTGGCGTATCGAACTCCTGCAATTGGACCCGGCGACCTAACATGCTGTAACTACCAGAAACCCCAGTTATACAATGCCGTAGATGAGTTGTAAACCAACTTAGCTGAGTAAATCATATATATATATATGGTCGAGCTAAATAATGCACGTAATACACATAATAAACGTAATACACAAAATACACATATATACACAATATAGAAGAATTTGCATTCTACCCAGACTTCAAACTTCAAAGTACTAACGTGCACAATATACTGTATTTTACAGTGTTTTATCCACATTGCATGTGCAGAACAACATCCCCATCAATTGTTGCTGGTTAGATCACGCTGTTTGATCCTTAATTCCTTTTTTTCTCGATGAATGTCATTTATATACATCTGGATAAATTACAGCAATTCACGAACCTATGGCATAACCTATGGCTATTTTAAGGGATAGTTACCCCTACCCAATTCCCATCATTCCAGTGAGGGAGAACAGTGAGGTCGTGATCAAAATTATATCCCCTGAGATCCCGCTATACCTCCATTGATAATGGATATAGAGTCCATGGATATTTAGATCCAAATTCTATCAATATTCCACTTTATATTCAGTTTATATCCATTTATATTCCATTCATATTCCGTTAATTTTACACTGATAGTCCATTTATATTTCAGTCATATCCCATTAGAACATTTGATCTATGTAGTAGATATAATGCGATTAATAGGGATTCCATTAGATCTAATAATGAGATATGAATGGAATCCAACTAATGTTGCATATAATCAAAGTGATCTAAATAAAATTCAGAAATAATCCGTAAATATTCCATCAATATTCCAAATAATCTATAATATCCCATTAATATTTCAAAATATCCAATTGCCCCTCCCCCACCGCCCCGACGCAGAGTTCACCTTTTGATTCTTGCCATACTTCCGGACAAATTCATCGAGTGGATCCGGTTCGCCCTGGAAAAAACGCTCAGCAGAGACGTGAAAAATGGATGGTGAGTGAAAGTGCATCATTCTGGTGATTTTCTAAAATGCTTCAAACATCACACATGGTGATTTCATCATCAACTACTATGTACAGTATGTGTGTATGTATGTATATGCAAATGGGTAAATAAATAATATATATATATATATGTATTTTATATAATATATGTATTATATATATAAATGTACTATATATAAATGGACTATATATATATATATGTATATTATATATATGTAGTATATATTACATATATATATATTACATATATATATATATACATATACATATACATATACATATACATATACAGTACATATGTTGTAGTGGGATTTTGGCGCAAACATTGTGATCTCTGGTGATTTCATCGGAATCTGATGGGATTCCAGCAGCACGGGGAAAAACGTCGTTGGCGAAGTTGGTGCAAATAAGTCCAATAACTATGGCAACTACTGGTTTATTGGTGATATATCATGATATATCTATAGCTAATGGGATTATATGTTGGCTAAGTCGGTTCATATTTGTGATATATATATATATATATAGTTCAAGGGGATTATAAATCAACATTCACATTTCGCTGGAGGGTACCATCCTGTGGGATGAGATGATTCAATGGCTGCCTCACCTATGGAATGAAGCCTGTATATATATATTGATCAAGGATGCGAATGTAGATGAATGTAGCCAACAAAACTATTAGACTCCATGCAACCAGCCCACTAAGTGAGATGTTTATCATCAAATTCAGCAGGAGAGAAACTGAAATCCAAAGGCCTTTGCGGATGTTATTCGTTGAAAAGTGCCGTTGTTGCCACCAATGTTTGATTCTTCATTAACATCCCTATGAACATTGTCATTTGGGGTGTGTCACATTTTCAGATACATCCAACTAATTATTTATTCCAACAAACAACACCTCTAAATCCACAGCTCGTTCCATCCCTTTCCATCGAGACACTTTCGTGACAAAACGGGAGTTTCTTACGCTTTCATGGCCAGGGAAGCGACTAACGGAGGTCCCATGATTGACAAACCCAATGCAATTCCAAAGACATCCCCAGTTTATACACTGAGATCATCAAGAAATTAATATGAAAATTGGAAAACCAGCTTCAAATTGGTAGCATTGCATCATGTTTGTTGAAGCTGTTTACTCCATTTCCCCCATGTGTATGAGGCAAAAAATCAAGACCCACTGCCCCAGCCCTGCTACAATATGAGGTCCAAAATAGAAAAGTTGCCTAACGAGGCAAACGGTCAGATTTATGATGGATATATCTGCAGTTGGATGAATTCATATTCCAAATTATAAAACCGTTTGCAATTCCAACATCCGCAAATTTATCTCCACACCGATGAGTTTTCCATATGTGTCTCATATCTCCCAATATGTTCGAATATACTTCCATATAATATAGTTCCATATTGTCCTATGCATGTCACATCTTAACGTACAGTATGTTTCAGTATGTCCAGTATTTCCCACATTTTCCAATATGTTCAGTTCTACGTTCCGATATGTTCCAAAATATTTCTTCCATGCGTTTTCAAAAATATTGGTACCATATGTTTCAGCTGTATTTTCCCGAGTTTCCCATAGATCTTTCCCTATGTTTTTCATATATTCTCCATGTGTATCCCATATTTGTCCACATGATTTCCCATATTTTTGTAGGTTAGCTGGACTTCATGATGGATAGTATGATATATCCAAAATGAACATAACTGGTTGGTGGTATACCTACCCCTCTGAAAAATCTGAGTTCATCAATGGGAAGGATTACATCCCATATATTATGGAAAAACAAAATCATGTTTCAAACCACCAAGCAAATAACTAGTTTTTAGTCCCCACAGATTCTCCAAATATCATCACATCCAGGTCTCCAAATCCATGACATCCAAAAAGCGGCGGCCTCTGCCTTTGGCGGTTTCTTCTTTGGCGCCATGAGAGATGCGGTTCCGGTGTCAAAAAGTCGAGCAGCAAGGAGAGAGATGAAGAATTCAAAGCCGAAAAGATGTTTGAAGAACAACAAAACCAGATCGCAAGGACCAAACAAACAACAACTCTTAAACACATTTAAAAATTCTGACCGACTTGATTGGACATGGAAGAAACTATTGAAATGCAAATGCCCACAAGAGGTTTCCCCGCGGGCTGAGCAGAGATCGCAAGGTCTTCGGCGGTTTTTGCTGGCTGTTGGGAAAATTGATCAGATGTGAATGGGGATACAATGGGAAATAGTGGAACATCATGGAAACAGATTGAAAACTAGGTGACATCACCCAACTCTTGTTGAAAGTGGCGTCCAAAATGTTTCTGATCAAGGGACATTTACCAAGCCCTCTTGCAGTTTGGAAAACACATTAAACGTTAGAGTCCAGCAAGATTTTGTGCGACTTAAAGCTATGCAAACTATCAATGGTGACATGTCTTGGATTTGCGCAAGGAATCATCGACCAATCCTTGGCTCCAAACTGTCAGAGTTTTGTCTATGGGGGAAGCCCCAATTGACTACAGTTATGGCCATTGATTCGTTATAACATGTTAAAACTGGTATGGGATTATACATTCTACATTAATGGGGTGACTTGTTAGTACCCATAACTGGTATTTCGGGCCATAAGTGTACCCATCTTTGGGAAAACCATGGGTTTTAAACACCATCGCTGTGAATTTCAAATTTCGAGACCCAACCCACATTCTCCACCGTGGCACAGGCAGCCCTTTTGCTGAGGTCCGAAACGCCAAAGTAACTCCGCCCGAGTTGTGGGCGGAGTAGACCCTGTTTTGCACGTCGAGTTGTGCTGCAGGATCTTCAGGAACCCCCTGTCCTTGCTGGTTTTTGTTGATCCATTGTGTAGAAGTTTTCTTTTCTTTAATCGTGATCTCATCTCATCCCTAAAAGGTAGACAAAACATCTAAGTGTAAGGCAGCCAGTAAGGCTACAATCCATCCACTATTCCAGTATAATGATTTTGTCAAAACATGAAAAAGAAACATCGCAATTCAGATGGCAGTAAGTGTTCCATTGATTGAAGGAGCGACTCAAGCACCAGGCCTGCCACTTAGTGTCACTTGCGTCGCCCACATTTTTGCACTATGATGTGGTGGTTGCTCCTTTCTTCTCAGTAGTTGAAGTAATCCCATCAGCCTATTAAATTGGACCTCACTTCATGAACAGATCCAATACCCTAGTTTCGAGGGTGTCATTTGATATTGGGGAGGAAGGGAGAGTATTTTTGTTTTCTGTGCAACTTTGGTTTTCAACAAGCATTTCTTCATGAGTCATACCTGAAAACTGGGAGTTCATCGAAAATCAATGAGCATCATGACACTACCGGATTCTATTCATGAATGACTTTTCCATCATGGAAATTCTGACTGTTCCATAACACCTTTCCGGGATTTCAACATTGTTGCATACTTTTGCGACCATTTTCCATGAGTAAAACCCTGCTTTTATTTTGGGATCCAGCCTTGGTCTCCGTGGCACACCGCACGTGGCACACCGCTGGCACGGCTCGTCACAACTTGGCCGCCGAGTTGTCCACGTCGCGAAAGTGGGTGTAGAAGGACTGCGGGAGGTCGCGAGAGATCGTCTTTCCCACTTGGTAGTTCATCCCACTTAGTAAGTATAGGTTATAACATGTTAGTTCACCCCAGTTGTAAATGGATTATGTAAGCCTAAGTTATCCCACTTAAAACAAGGGATATTTCACCTACGATTCGTGGGATGAGCCTCCAAGCACTGGGAAATTGGCCGTGGGTCACCGAGCACATGGGAAAAGATGGGAAAACCATGGGGCAATTCGTGGGAAACCAACGATAAACAGGATGAACAACTGCCAGTCACTGCTGAGAAATTCACCTACGACTGGGTATGCTGGATTTGCATGATTTTCTTGATCTCAAAATCCACTTCTTGGGGAATCTATAGAGAGTAGTACTACTACATGAAATGCGATATTTACTGGATATCGATATTTACTACATGCAGCTTTGGATGAGCGAACTCACACCATCCCAAGACGTCATGGTAGGTTTATGGCAGCTAGGGATTCCCACATTCAAACCCACGTCACGGCGATCCTCCAAGGCACGAGGACTTCACCCACCACTTACTAGGACTTTATCACATCAACCCTCCCAAGATATACTCCACAAAAATGGTATTAACGTACTAAACTCATGGGGTAAAACACATTAAAACACCATATTTATAGATACTGTTACATGAATTGGATGGTTTTTTGGCACGCAGAAAAACACATGTTTTCGTGGTCGTCTTACACCCTCCAGGCCATCAGAAATGGAAACTCTGAACATCTACAGTATATGAACCCCCAGCGATGCCGAAGAGTGAGAAACCAGAATGTGAATTAGACTTATGGCCCAACTAACAGTTATAAATGGACATATAACTCCAATAACTCAGGTTATAGATCATTAACAACCTATTTATAACTGTAAAGGGCCATAACTGTAGTGATAATTCTACTATTTCCAGCTTTACAACAAGGTGAGACCCCCAAAAGTTCTGTTTGTTGATGTATAAAGCCATGAAAACACTAGTTCGTTATTTCCCCTATGAAAACACCCAACGAGAAAACCAAACGATGTGCGTCAACCAGCCGCTATGAATTTCGAAAAAAATGGGGGGGTGCAGTTGAGGTTTTATAGTTTTACCCTCTGGTAATTTGCTACATAGCTATTGAACATGGCCCATAGAAATAGTTGATTTACCTATATATCAAAGATTGTGATTTTCCATATAATTCACCATTTTCCCAGGCTTTTCCCATGGTTTACCAGGGGCTATGATGTTTAACATGGTATAACCATGGTATTTAAAGCTGCAAAAGTGCCCCCTTCCCATCTCTCTCATCTCTCTCAACTCGCCTTGCTGAGGTTCAACCTGAGACTTCGATGATGTTCCCAGCGAACTAAAGCTCTATTTCTATGAGATTCTATGATGTCCTATGATATCCATTGATATCCCATGATATATTCTAAATACTGTATACATCTGTATACTGTGTCTATTGAATGTGGAATCTGGTGACATAAATTCTGAGGTATGACTGAATCGCTTCCACAGCATCTGATGTGGACCCAGTTGTCTACTTCTTGGTACTCAAACATATTGAGCATGTTGGCAAATAATTTGCAAAACAAACACATCCGGATTCACTACTAGATCCAACACTGACTTATCTTTGCTGGTATAATATATAATTACAAACAATCCTGAGTTTCAAGCAAACATGCATCAAATGTACGCAAAAGTAGCATCACCATGATACAGTATGGATTTCAAGTCCAAGTGCTTGAACTTTTAGAGCCAACAAACAACATCATCAGTGCTCGCATCCTGCTAAAGTTGGACAAACAATATGACATCAGCACATCATCAAATTGGATAAAGTGCATCCCGAAAAAGGAGACATAAATCCTCCAATATCAAACGCGGACCTCGTATTTTCGAACGTTGTTTGGAGTCCCCCTGTCCCATCGAAAACTGTACGGATGGTCTTCATGAGATGCCGATATCACCAAAAAAAACTCATGTTTAATGGTTCCATGGTGGTTCATCCCATGAATCGGAAGTTAGTTCACCCCAGTTGCAAGTGGATGAAAAGCCTACAGAAATCCTACTGGATGAACCAGGAAGATTTCACCTCCAGGATTCGTGGGTAGTGAAAACCACCAAGTGGCAATGGAATAGATCATGATCCAACAAAAAATATCAATATCCAGTTGAACCCCCATGGAATCTTACTATTCATGCCATTTCATTAATATCCATTAATCATCACCAATCGGTGAAAGGCCATGGCCCACCAAATTTTGCTCAATCCCAAACCAACCTAAACTAGTCCCAAATAACTTGTTCATTGGTGCAACCCCAAATAATCCAACTACCCTCCGGTGTGATCAAACGTGGCGCATGCGCTGGAAAACCCGCCGAATTTGTCATGGAGATTTCCCGCCGCATTTCCCAGGTCTGTGGCCCCGACATGTGCAAGGCATCACTGCTGGCGCAGGTCTGCAGCATCCGAAAGCCATCCCACGGTCCGGCTCAGTGGTGAAGGATCATTTTCCCAGTATCCCACAAGGTGGTGTCCCACCAGTTATAAATGGCTAAACAAATTCCATTATCTAGTTCGATATATCACCTTAGTGGTTCCGAACTGGGGCACAACCTATCCCATGGTAGGATGATCCGCGGCGCCTCTCTGCAGGAATGCATGGCCCACTGCGGAGCACCCACGTCGATGGTTCGGACCTGGCAGGGTCAAAGTGTTGAAGAAACGGAAGCCCCAAAAAGAAGAAGAAGACGATGATGATGGTTACTTACCTCTTAAGTGTTTTGAAACATAACACACACACACACATATATATAAGGTTTAATTTGATCTATTCGATCTATCTTTTTGGGGCTTGCCTGTTGTCAGAATCACCATAAATTCAACAGCTGATCCAGTTCTGTTTACCAAGTTACAGTAGTTTAGACTTGCCTAAGAATTGCTAGAAATGGCAGAACATGTGGGGCACTACCTTGTTTTTTTAGTCTAAGTTGACCGCAAGGGATTATCTCAGGGAATAGTTGGATATAGCTGGATAGGTGAACATAAGGTGAACATCAAACAAAAGATTGTGATTCACCTGAACATCATAACGGAAAAGGCTTTAAGCAACACACGGCCGTGAACTAAAAAAATGTGGCCGATGTCCCATTTCCCTATCGGTAATTGGTGGGGGGGTGGGACCCTGGTTTAATTTCTTTAATTAAACGGGGTCCCCTGCAGTATGGTTTTTTCCAAATTTTTTCAGTCAAACATAACCTCCGTTTATTTTTAACATAAGAAATTAATCCAGAAAACTTCCAGTTAAGGTCCCACCCAGCATCCCCCAGCTAAAAATTAAACAAGCTACTCGGCAGTACCTGGTTTAATTTTACAGGATCATTGGGTTGATTTTGTTTTGCCAAGACCAAATATTAAACCACCTGGTTCTACACATGCCAGTGAGACTTGGTGTAAAAACAGTTGCGCCCACCATTTCTCCCCCCAGGTGCGTGGACCAACTCAACTTTCTCAAAATTAAACCCCATGGTTTAATTTCAGCTGTTTTAGCTCATTGTGCTGCCTCGTGTTCCGCCTCGGGATACTGCAGCCATGGTTCCTGACACGTGTCCTAGCACAGCTCCGTGAAGACGATCCGGCGTAGACAGCAAGGTTCTTGCACAGTTGGGAACAGCATTGCTGCAGCCCAAATGCTCCATCTCAAGCAGAGCAAGTCCATGGGAAAGGCGCTGCGGGACCATGGTAAACTGTTTCTATCTGTTTCGGGCCCCTTGCGTGATCCCAGATCAGGTCAGAATAATTAATCAAGGGGTGGGTGAGTCCATACGTACTGAACATTCATTCATCAGGACACCTTTGGCACCATAATATTCATGGGATTTATGGTCACCAGAATAATTAAACAAGGGGTGGGTGAGTCCACATGTACTGGGCATTCAGGATCAGTTCTTCCATTGGGACACCCCCAACACCATAATATCATACAATATCCATGGCATTGATGGTCACCAGAATAATTAAACAAGGGGTGGATAAGTCCACATGTTCTTGGCATTCATAAAGATTCATGTATTGGGATACCTTTGGTGTTATCATGATTCATTGTTTTTTCTTGAATTTTCATCTTTGGTCATCACAAAGGAAGGAACCTGATGGAATCTCATTGGACTTGCTACTTTCGAATTATTTTGACACCTGTATCTCACCAATCTCTCTCCACCATGCAAGAAGGAGGCAAATGAGCAACCTTCAATGAGAGAGATTGGTGAGATACAGGTGTCAAAATAATTCGAAAGTAGCAAGTCCAATGAGATTCCATCAGGTTCCTTCCTTTGTGATGACCAAAGATGAAAATTCAAGAAAAAACAATGAGTCATGATAACACCAAAGGTATCCCAATACATGAATCTTTATGAATGCCAAGAACATGTGGACTTATCCACCCCTTGTTTAATTATTCTGGTGACCATCAATGCCATGGATATTGTATGATATTATGGTGTTGGGGGTGCCCCAATGGAAGAACTGATCCTGAATGCCCAGTACATGTGGACTCACCCACCCCTTGTTTAATTATTCTGGTGACCATAAATCCCATGAATATTATGGTGCCAAAGGTGTCCTGATGAATGAATGCTCAGTACGTATGGACTCACCCACCCCTTGATTAATTATTCTGACCTGATCTGGGATTACGCAAGGGGCCCGAAACAGATAGAAACAGTTTACCATGGTCCCGCAGCGCCTTTCCCATGGACTTGCTCTGCTTGAGATGGAGCATTTGGGCTGCAGCAATGCTGTTCCCAACTGTGCAAGAACCTTGCTGTCCACGCCGGATCGTCTTCACGGAGCTGTGCTAGGACACGTGTCAGGAACCATGGCTGCAGTATCCCGAGGCGGAACACGAGGCAGCACAATGAGCTAAAACAGCTGAAATTAAACCATAGGGTGGGTCACATCTCAAAATTAAACCAACTCAACTTTCTTCAGGATCTTAAGGAAGTGGGTGGACCCCCTGTTTTCGTAAGATTTTTAAAATTAAACCAAAAAAAATAAACCAAACTCAGTGTCCACCTGGTTTAATTTAGCTAGTGCATCCCACATGATGTCCCATCCAATGATCCCCCAGGGTCTCCAGATGTCTCACTGGTTGACGTTTCGGTTTCCCTATGGGTTGTCATAATCCCCAACCATATATAACCTTGGGAGTAGAACTCCCAATATAAGAACCAAGCAAGCAAAATATGTTTAATGGCTCAACTCGGCTTTATAATGACGGATTTGTCCAAGAGGGCCACCGGAGGTTCTCCCCGACTTACAATTTGCTTGATGTTCACCTTATGTTCACCTATCCAGCATTATCCAGCTATATCCAACTATTGATATACCTCCGCAAACCACATCTACTCTACTTAATTATACCGCAGCCCGGGTATCCGGACGCCAGTGCTGGAGGAGATGATAGGCCCTGGCCATGTGGCGATTTGTTTTGAGCTACTCTGAGGTGAACTTTGTATAGAAACTAATGCTAACCCTGGCTAACCCTCAAAAAAGTCGAAAAGTCATCTGGTTGGTGGTTTCAACCCCTCTGAAAAAATATTAGTCAGCTGGGATGGTGATTATTCGCAATATATGGAAAACAAAAATGTTCCAAACCACCAAGTCGCTCTTTGAGGAGTTACTTTTCATATTTGTTCCATGACTTTTCGATCTTTTTCGGGGAGTATGTATAAACCAACGTGGAAACATGTGGAAAAAAAACAACACGCCTATGGTGCTGCCGCACGGGCTGTCATTCCTCACCACAAAGTCCTGGCCAAAACCGCTGAAGAATGGTGTGAGCGTTTATGGTAAATGGTCTATCACCGTCTATCACCTGAGTTATAGGAGTTATATGTCCATTTATAACTCTTAAGGGCCATGGGCCATAACTGTATAACCATGAAACATATGATTGTAACCATTGTATAGTTTTATCTACAATCATAGATCACTATATATATATATATATCGTATCATATATACCAGTATCACGTTGGTGAGAACGTTGTGTTTTTGGATGATTACAATGGGATTATGATGGAATAATTCCAAGTCCATACCTGTGTATTAAAGTCAATATCAGTTTATAATAACTGTTTATGTGTTCATCTAATCTCCGAAAGACTTCTGATATATACCATTGTCTAACTGAGTATAGTAGAAACAGACAGCACCGAACCGTCCAATCACGCACATACTGTATGTCACATGTGAGTGTATGGGTATATAACATCCTCACCCGTAATGTTCAACTATGTTCATCAAAGCCCTCTCTTTACTCTTTTCGGATCTCGGTTCCATGCTGACCTACACAACGCAACATGCGGAATGCCAAAAATATCCGAAAGCAATGTCCCCAGGTTTGTTCTTGATGCCCCTATGCGCACGTGCTCTTACGTAGTCGCACTTGATTTTTTTAGTCTCCACCAATCACCAAACCAATTTCGCTCATCTAGGAACGCTAACACGCAAATTACCGGCGGGCGGCATCAAACATTGAAGACCATTTTCATTAAGAAGCCTAGACCCAAGGTGGTGCTCCAAACTTTGGTCTGACCCAACCAGGCCCGCTACTACTTCGAATTGCGGTGAAAAAAAACGTTCAACTCATAGTTATCCTCACCGGATACCGATCTTTTCATGTGTGGTTAACTAAATAAGAATGACTAAAGCACCAAATCCATAGGATCAGTAATTTTTGGAATATTTGTTGGACTAAATACAGAACTGGTTGGTGGCATACTTACCCGTCTGAAAAATATGACTTCGTCAGTTGGGATGATGACATTCCCAAGATATGGAAAAATAAAAAATGTTCCAAACCACCAACCAAAGAAGATGATAAGATATAATAAGCATACACACTACATATCTACATCAACCGAAGCGCAAGAAAAACAAACGAAGCACCGCGTCGCCGCGTCCTGCACTGGTACCTCGCAACGCTTGCACACCTGGCACTGAGGATGAAAAGCAGTGTAGTGTACATGAATAGGTATCAATATAAATAGGGATCCATGGTACTTGTATGTACTTGTATTATCTTGATCAGTATATAGCTATATGGAGGTCTCCTAAGTCATAGGGTACCCCTAAATCATCTATGTGGGGGTCCCATCTATGGAAATGTTTATAGCACAAAAGGATGTTCACTGCATATCAGCAACATTGAACTGTGAATGGCCAATATCTCAAAAATGCCCAAAATTGTTGGTACCCCATGGGATCCCCAAGACCAAAGAATTTGTTGGTTAATGATTCATGTTAGTTATATATCTGGTTATGTTATTCCCCATCACCCCAACACATATCCCCATATGGGTTTGACTGAAGATTGGCTTCCCAGTTTTTTATGGCCACTTATCATCTTCCCAACATCTTCAGGTTATCATTTATCATCCCGTTTATCATCATTTATCATCTTTTTATGGCCACTTATCACTTATCTTCCCACTTTTCATTGCCATAAAATTGGGGATAATAAGTATCCTTCATCTTCAGACATACCTAAACCCTCCAATGTACCCCAGCAAACATGGTTAAAGTGCAAAAATGATGGGGTAAAACACAAATTTTGATGCAGTTATGGCCCTTAACAGTTATAAATTATAAATGGACATATAACTCCTATAACTCAGGTTATATATCATTAAGAACCTATTTATAACTGTAAGGGGCCATAACTGTGGGTACTTGGAGGGTTTCAGACCCCATATTTCGCAGGCTCCATGATCCATCTAAAGCCTCGCGGAACAGCGCGGCGGTCAACGGAGTCGTAGCATACCTGGGCTTGGCTTCACTTGGTTGGAAACTCTGGGGAAGAATTATCTGTAGCATCCTGCTAAATTGTGTTTCTATCTTTTCTCGGATTTTCTCGGCTGGCCCTTTGATGCAAAGCCAAGAAACACACATTGAACATGACTCAATACATAAGTGCAATGCAAGAATCACAGACACTCCACCAACAATTGATATACCGAGACCCTTCAAGTAAGAATTAAAAATTGTGTTTTACCATGTTTTACCCCATTGATTTATATAGTACTTTTACCATTTTTGGTGGGTACTTCAGTTGAGGTTGCTTTTATGGGTATCGGTATCACCATGATACTTTAACCCCCAGTCTGCCAGAAGTTGGGATATGGTTATCCCCTAAACTGCACTGCCAAGTATGTCATCGTCTATATTGCTGTGAACGGAAGGGCACCAGATTTTGGATGATTTTTGACCCATAGCCATATTGTTCGGCCTTGTGGCGTTTAAAAAAAATCAGCTCATGTGCTGGGCACATTTCCCAGTTTGGTTGCAAAATATCCACATGTTTATACATAAAATCAAAGCTTCTGTCTGATGAAATATACATGACATGACATGATATGATACAATATGATAAGATATGATATAATGAATCACAATTATTGGATGGTTGGGTGGTCCACAGTTTCCCAATTCGCCCGCCCCGTTGCCCAACAGCCCTAACTTGTGGTTTTTCGATGTCAGCCTCTGATTGGCGTTGGTCTTGATGACAATGCCCTTGTGGAATGATGGACCTTGGGATGGACCAAGGTCCCCACTGAGGATGATCAGCACCGATTACCCGTACCCAGTGGCACCTGTACCTTTTGGATAGAGTGGATAGTGTCACCCGTATGCCCACAACAAGTGGACCCACAAATGCCAAACAAATCCGAGTGCTCCAAATTATTAAATATCCTCTGAGAAGGTGTAAACAGACTCCAAAAAACAACTCCAAATACAGTCTCAGAAGGTGTTTGGAGCTGTAGGGAATATCCAATCAGTGTCTAATACTCCACTTTAGTCTATAGTATTGATTCCTATCCATAAGCCTTTCATAAGTGGCGTGTCCTGCAAAGAAATCAATACAAGTGAAGTTCCAGGGGCAACGATGGAACCTGTTGTACACTCCAGTATAAACTAACCAAAAAGCATGGGTATCCGGTTCTGGAGGCCTCTGAAGTTCTACATGCAGAGGTTTCAGTGACGAGCTGTTGTTGATACAACAGGGTTGCAGCATAATTTTCCTTTACAAAACATTGCTGGGATGGTGGAAGATAACCATTACTAGGCGATCAAGGTGATCTCTATATCCGTGATCTGAGGTCGCTTAATCCTTGAACGGTCACAAAATCATCCCCAAACTGTCAGGAATTGCAATATGTAGGTATTTCACCTCCAAATCATGGATCATACAAGTAGATCACACACGATCCAGAATTCAAACTTTGATTTGGGGAACTTCACCATTGGAGACCCCAAAAGTGATAGATCTTTCACATCGTTTCACCTCCCAACAAACCGTACAAGGCAACCATCTTAGCAACCTCCCGGGTGCCGCACGGTGTTCCGCCTGGGCAAACCATCCCTATGATATGAACAAAAATCGTCCCCTGCAGCATGGGGACCCCCAGTGATGTTTGTTGGTTTATAAACCATTATATTATAACCCCCTATCCATTAACTATAGTTATATCATGTTATATCTAGAATAAACCATAGAATTCAGCCACTTACAAGGCAACTGAACGCTATCTCGGGGGGCCCATCCTGTGGTGGTTTGGTTTTGATGTTTTGGGCATTGACTTTAAGTCACATGAAGTCACTCGGAAAAAATGAGTTTTTGTCACATAAGAAACAACTTGGAAGCCACCGTTCGGTACCTTTCGATACTTTGCAAACAGGAAATCCAAACAGTGACCATAACTTAAGTAAATCAGAAAAGTGAATGGGCCGTGTTCATCCATGTTCCATATCTATGTTAAATTACATTAAATTACTGAAGTATTGAGTATAAGCCTTGAATTGAAGAAATGATGATTTCATCCCATTCTCCCAGTATTCAAGGAGTTTGCCATCCAAAAAGGTGAGTTGCCATGATTTAACCATGCCGTCCCCACCCAAAGACTGGAAATCCACAGGCTTAGGACGTCATGTGCGCTATTAAAAAGGCCATCTAATACCATCTATTTAAAAGCATCCATTCCTGTTGACTTTTTTCCTCTAAATTTGACCCATGCCTTTTCTTCCAACGGCCATTGCCTGATGTTTGGCAGCATAGTTTGGATGCAGCCCGTGCGCGCAGTCCTCGGATAACAATGTGGATATGGTCAGTGCCGGAATTATAGAACGGAAGTTGAGGAGGACGAAGGTACGGTTATTTACCGTACCCTGTTGTTCTATAATTCTGTTTTCCTCGGAAGGTATGAAAAAAATGTATCTGATCTTCCTCCTAATTTTTTTCGTCGTTCTATAATTCTTGTCGGAGCGCTGTTGTTCTATAATTCTGTTTTCACCCATTTTTCTCACATTTCCCATTTTCGTTCTATAATTAATGTTTCCCGGGCCCCGTTCTATAATTCATTTTTCCGTCGAACGGAAAAATTAATTATAGAACGGAAAAATCAATTATAGAATTATAGAACCTCTTCCGGGGTCCCAGAAATCCTATAAAATCACCATGAAATCTAAGAAAATCACCGTGAAATCCCATAAAATTACCATGAAATCCCATAAAATTATAAAATCACCATGAAATCTAAGAAAATCACCTGGTAAATGTGGGAAAAATGGGGGAAAACAGAATTATAGAACGGAAGTTGAGGAGTACGAAGGTACGGTTATTTACCGTACCCTGTTGTTCTATAATTCTGTTTTCCTCGGAAGGTAGAAAAAAAACGTATCTGAATTTACTCCTAGCTTTTCTCGTCGTTCTATAATTCTTGTCGGAGCGCTATTGTTCTATAATTCTGTTTCCCCCATTTTTCCCACATTTCCCATTATCCTCATGTTACAGCATCCTCATTTTATCCTCGTTTCCTCATCAAATCCTCATTTTATCATCATTTTATCTTCATTTCCTTATCAAATCCTCATTAAATCCTCATTAAATCTGCATTTTATCCTCATTTCCTCATCAAATCCCCATTAAATCCTCATTTTATCCGCGTTTTATTATCATTTCCTCATCAAATCCTCATTTTATCTTCATTTTATCTTCATTTTCTCATCAAATCCTCATTAAATCCTGATTAAATCCTCATTTTATGTTCATTTTATCTTTATTTTATCATCATTTCCTCATCAAATCCTCATTTTATCTTCATTTTATCCTCATTTTATCCTCATTTTATCCTCGTTTCCTCATCAAATCGTCATTTTATCTGCATTTTATCTTCATTTTCCTCATCAAATCCTCATTAAATCCTCATTAAATCTTCATTTTATAGATTGTATATGTACAAATATGCAGTAAATATCATGTCAGTGCCAGAAATTATAGAACGGAGCCAGGAGGACAAAAGTACGGTAAAATACCGTACCTTTGTCCTCCTCCCCGTTCTATAATTAAATTTCCCGACTCCGCTCCGAATCGATACCCGGAGGAGGACACAGGTACGGTATTTTACCGTACTTTTGTCCTCCTGGCTCCGTTCTATAATTCTGGCACTGACTGTACAGCTCATTGAAAAGAGGTTTAGATGGTTTGAAGATGGCATTTGTCAACTGCTAAATATATAAGTTAAATGGTTTAATATTCACCACTGTTTTTTTGGGGGGCGTACCCAAAATGTAAGCTACAATTTTCAAGGTGTTTTTTTGGGGGGGCATTGAAAATGTAAGCTTGCATTTTGAAGGTATTTTGAAGACCCACCCCACAAAAACGACACTTGGGGGACGTTCAGCGACCAAGTTTACATTTACGGGGGGGGTCCCAAAAAATGTATCTTACCTTTTGATATTCCCTCCCTGAAAAGTAGCCTTAAAGGGGTGGTGATGTTTTATAATTTTACCAGGCTGAAAACAATGGTGATACCACCAAGGACCACTCGGATGATTGGGAAATCCCAATCAAACATGCTGGGTTATAGCTGGGAACATCATCGAACTAAATGGGTGATTTCTTTTGTTATATTTGATTATTTAAAGCAGATAATTCTTCATTGTTATATTTTATACCAGTACGGATTCATGGTTTTTCCAACCAAAATCTGGCCTGTAAAGGTCCTCCTGGTGTTGGCCCATTGGCCCAAAGCTAAGTTGATGAAAAAAATACTAGGACAACTACTGTGTCTATGCTGGGTATATGGTGGGTACGGTATATCTATAGTCGGATGATGTTGGATGGTTTTTAACAACATATATATATATATGTATATTAACCAACTTATAACTGAGGGGTTCACCTTGTCATCATCTCATGCACTATCCAAAACAAAATCCAAATCACTCATCATATCCATTATAAATATGTATATCTATATATCTATCTATCTATCTATCTATCTATCTATCTATCTATAATATATATATATATATATATATGCACATACATACATATATCCCATATTCTGATCTATGGTTTTGCCTCAAATTAGGGTATCCAATGGCATCCTCATTTTTTGATGATTTAAACTTCATTTCCCCAATTAAACTGTAATTTTGAGAGGTATATCTCATATCCTGACACACCCAAATACCATATGTTGCTATAGTACATATATAATCATATATATATGTACATGATAAGAATATCCCAGTATGAGAATCCGATAACATAGTCGACTCTATCCCTATATTTGCTCCTTATTTTTTTCATAATCCCATCCCTTGTTGATATTAAACCTCTATTCTATGGTATATTTCATCCCCATCCACCATCGTTTCTCTGTTTAATAACCATCCCATTAGAATCCCATGATACTCCGATAGTTCCATGATAATTCCAGAAACTGCCACACTTCATCACCATGTTTCAGTGTTTCAGTCATTTTCCTATGGTTTTCCTCATGTTTTCAACCACATCTTCCAATGGTTTTCTCATGTCTTCCTTTTCCCATGAAAAGCTACCCATTTCTGCGCCCAGCCGCGGGCGTTTCTGCGCCAAGGGACTGCGGAGATCAGAAAGCTCCGTGTGAGCATCTCGGGCTTGGCCGCGTCGGGCCTGTGCCGACTGCACGCCGCTATGTGCAATATCCCCACAGGGTGGTGCCCCAGTTGGGAATCGCTAAGTTGGTGCAAATAAGTGCAATTTCACCAGGATTTATTTGGTGATATATCTGGGTAAATTAATTTCACTAACCTGAATGGTTCGGCCATTCGGGGATGATTTGCCTTATAAACCATGATTCCATGCAACCAACAGTTGATGCCGGCGTTCAAATGCGAACCGGCAACAGATGCGTGTCGCGTCGCCTGAGGCTGCACGTTGCACAACTTTCCGTTTGACATCGCGCTCAAACGGTCATTGAAGTCTCTGATATGGGCATCAGCTGCACCGACCTCGATGCATACACATTTGCCAGCCTCTTCCTTCGAAAAACCAACGGCAAGAATATCGTCGATCAACGAATGCACCTCGCTGACGCTCACTCCCACTCCGTCGCGGTTGTGCGGGTGCACACCCACCTGGCTGGGGTGAACCCGCTGAATGTGCAACAATGCAAACTTTGGAATTTTGAAATTAATTCATCCATGTATCCGCGGTGATGTAGCTGCATCCGGTGGCTCGGGACCTCAGGAAGCCTGCCACCTGTGGAGCTCGATGGACACCAGAATTGCAGTGAACCCACACCAGATCGTGTCCGCCGTGCAGCACAGGTGGTGTCTCTCAAGCAAGTCCATAACAGCAGTAACACTGGAGACCACCTTGCTGCCACTCTTGGCATCGTTGATGTATTTGATGATCTCAGCCTTGACGTCCTGGGGGATCGCCATGGTTAAATAGTTCTAAACTAGACTGACTGATCAACCTTTTGCTTGTCACTCAGCCAGTGCAACACTCTGCATGATGGAAAGTGGCGATTTGTGAATCTGCCCCACCTTGCAGTTCTAGATGGGTAATATATGGTTATAAGTTTCAGACACACCTTGCAGGGTGTGAAAGGAACCATTGACCTTTTTTCTAGCTATTGCAGTAGGATTTCATGAAACTCAAATTATTGAAGCCCTACTTGGTGGTTCATCCCGCGAATCCCAAGTAGGTTAGTTATAACCACAGCTGTGAGTGTATGAAAACCCTACTTATCCCACTGGATGAACCAGGGATATAACCTACTACTTAGGATTCGTGGGGTGAGTCACCAAGTAGATGGATTATAATGTGAGTAAAACACTGTCATAAACCATCCATGACTGGGAATAGTTTATACCACCTATAAAATTTGGTGATTTGGGGGATGGTCTATGGCATTGTGTTACCCACAGTATATGGGTAAATTGCTTTACTTCGTGTGATCCCCACCATGACATGTATACGTTTTGTTACTGGCAAATCTTCTGGCATTCTATCTGACATATCTTCTGGCATTCTATCTGGCATATCTTCTGGCATTCTACCTGGCATATCTTCTGGCATATGTTCTGGCATATCTTCTCGCATTCTATCTGGCATTCTATCTGGCATATCTTCTGGCATATCTTCTGACATCCTATCTGGCTGGCAAATCTTCTGGCATTCTATCTGGCAAACATTCTGGCACTTTATCTGGCATACCTTCTGGCATTCTATCTGGCATACCTTCTGGCATTCTATCTGGCATATCTTCTGGCATTCTATCTGGCATATCTTCTGGCATTTTATCTGGCCTATCTTCTGGCATTCTATCTGGCATATCTTCTAACACTCTATCTGGCATATCTTCTGGCATTCTATCTGGCCGCTGAGGTCCAGCGGTGCACACTGAGCTGGGAAGGTCCCAGGTTGAGGTCCAGCGGTGCACACTGAGCTGGGAAGGTCCCAGGTTGAGGTCCAGCGGTGCGGTATACTACTCACTTGCGCCTCCAAAATTTTCTCACTTGTACCTCCTAGTCACTTGCGCCTCCACTACTCACTTACGCCTCCGACCTACTCACTTGCGCCTCCGACCTACTCACTTGCGCCTCCACTTCCTTCTCACTTACGCCTCACTACTTTGCGCCTACTCTACAATCTTGCTTTTGATTGAAAATGTCTACGCTCTTTCTTTCCACAATGCCATGATCTAAAACCTAGCTCTTTATTGACAGTGTCCCCCCCCTTGCCTTCCATAATGCCACGATCTAACATCTAACTCTTTATTTAATTCCACAATGCCATGATCTACAATCTGACTCTTTATTAAAACTTTCATCAAATTCTAGCTTGTTATTTAAACTTCCCCCCCTTGCCATCCACAATGCCATGATCTAAAATCTAATTCTTTATCTATACTTTCATCTAATTTCTAGCTTGTTATTTAAACTTCCCCCCCTTGCCTTGCACAATGCCATGATCTAAAATCTAATTCTTTATCTGAACTATCCGAGCGGCGAGGCGTCTCCATCGCTAATGCGAAAGCCGAGAGTGATGATGCAATCCTGGAAGCCAACTTGATCCAAACAGCTGCTGGTCATGCCACGCATACTTTCAACAGCCTGGTGCAGTAAAATCTCAGAGCACTAGTCATTGGAAGAAACGCATGCATGCACACGGGCTCTTCTTTTTTTGCAAAATCTCAGCATTGCTTCTCATCACGGACATGATATCGACATGGCAAGTCCATAAGAAAATCAGTTTCATCACAATGTCTCCGAATGGGCATGGATTGGGATGACACCACTGGGCGGCGGAGCCCAACTCATATGAAAGCGATCGCGAACCGGCTCTCCAACGTACCGCGACCGAGTTTGTTGCCCTGGTGGCGAGGTTTCTTGGCCGCATTGTTTGCCATGGGCCACCTTCCCATTGCCGCGGGCCTCAACAAATACAGGCACGCGACATTGAATGCTTGCGACATTGAATGCTTGAGGACAACGCGTTGATTTCGAAGCAGCGAGAGCAACAGAAGACCTTGAACTTATCGTGGTCTTCGTGTGCCAAAAACCTCGGATGCGGAGAACGCATTTACATGGTTTCACAATTGGATTCAAACTGAGTCCGGTGCATGCATGTCGGAGTGACACAAAGCGGTCTGCGAGCTTTCGGCACAATCGCACCAGACCTGGGCAATGACATGTCATGTCATGTCGGTGTCAGAAGATGAATTGAAATGGATGGCTTAGGCTTCGACTTCTCAACCACCAAAGACTTGTCTGCTGGCTCCAACTTCATTCCATCTGAGACCTGTCATCATTAAAGTTACATGTATAAATCGGCTTCATAATAGAAAACATCAATTGCATTGATGCGTCTGCCTGATCCGCTGAAGACCTGAGGGTGAATGATTGTTGTCTTGGGTGCGCTTTCAGCAACTGCTTGAATCGCTGAGCCCGCAGCATGTGGGAAGCATGCCTGGACCAGCGTGTCCTTGGCGGCACCTGTCATGGTCCAGGAAAACGCACGGCTGAAGCTTGTACATGAGGAATGCAAGTGGAGCCTCTGGCATGGTCCCCTCAGATTCTGCAAGTGAAGCCTCTGGCATGGTCCCCTCAGGTTCCTGGCGGGGACGGGACTCACATGGAATTACGGGGCGACCAAACATTCAATTCCCATCATCCACAAAAATTGGAAGAACGTTTCCAGCAATGGTTCCTGGGTGACATTGGGGTTGATCATATACTTTGTCATTGCTGATATAGTGATGCTGCGTGGCCTGGGATGAGAAGTTAGCTTTTCGACCGGGCTTGGCGTGTAAACAGCTGCGTGCAGGAAATGGTTAAACGGTGGGCCGACACTCGCTAGCGATTGTCAGCAAAGAGGCATTCATGTTTTATGAACAAAGCAGGCCACTTTTTCCTTGCGCATCTGTGCAGTGGCGCCAGGGTCGAAGGCAACTACGAACATTGGTGGTGGCTCAAAGCCGTCACAAAGCCGGTCCACGTGTCATAGCGCCACCGACCAAAGAGTTGACCGTGACACCGCAAACAGTGCTTATGCACCACCTCACAGCCGTTGCGAGTGCGGCGTGGCAACGGAGCGCATTGTTGCTTCAGTAGCCAAATTTCCTCACACGTTCGAGCCAGGTCCTCGATGACAAGCCGCGCGCCGTGAAGACAGCGCTGGAGGGGCTGCGAAAGCTGGTGCATCTTGCCATCCAAAAGCACAGCAGCAGCCCCCAAAGTCAGCTCCAGGAAGTCTCCTTTGGTGTCGTCGCTCTGCAGTGCTAAAAGGCGTGCAGTGTCGCCGACCAGCTCATCAAATACCTCGGCCCACAGCGCATCGCCCGGGTCGCGAGTGTCGTCGGCGCTGCTGTAAGGGCATGGGTAGCCGACATCCAAGCAACTAATGCGAATGCCGCCCAGGTATGACAGCTCTTTCCGTTGTTTGCGGGGGACTTCGTCCAACAGCTGCTCGAACAGTGGCCCCAAGCGCAGGAGCTCGCATATGCGCTCCACATCTGCCAGGCTGTCGGGCAACTCAGGCCACCGTTGCCATTGAGCCCAGTTTTCCATGATCTGGACTATTGCGGTGGAAATCGCCATTGCTGCTGAGACCACAAAATGAAGATATTTTCACTTTAGGCACTTAATGAAGATATTAGTAGTTATATGAACTTATCATAGAAGTGTTTTTTCTTTATTTTTACTTATTTTCACTTATTTTTCAATGTTTTTTTGATGATCAGAATTGATTATAGACGATGCATTGTTCTGTTATATATTTTTTGAAAATAGTTGTCGACCTTTTTGTTTCCTTTGGAATATTTTTTTCTTGCCTTTTTTCATTGTTTTTTTCATTCTTTTCAGGCATCATCCTTTTAGAAATCACCCTTTTCAGGATTTATCCTTTTCAGGAATTATCCTTTTCAGGACTTATCCTTTCAGGAATTTTTTATTCAGAATGAATCCTTTTCAGGAACTATCCTTAACAGGAATCTTTCTATTCAGATTGATTTCATTTTCAGGAACAATGCTTTTCAGGAGTTATCTTCTACAGGAAATGGTTCTTCTACAGGAATATGCGCGGCTGCGAGTGACACAAAGAATCTTGAAGTACATCTGTGGGGAAATCATTCAGAGGCAAAAGGAAAAAAACATATAAAGGATGCTTCTTGGAAAGAACAATTGCTCTTTTGATGTGTCTTCTTCAATTGTATACGACTGCCCAGATGAGGCTTCGGTTACTACTTCCAAACTACATAATTCAGGGATGAAGATGGATACCTAATTTGGAAAATATTCTATTATATTTTTTTGTTGGTAAAAGATTTAAAGCTAGCTGGCTTGCTTTTTGTTTTGAAAATGTATTTTCTATAATTGCTATTTATGTTTTATTGTTCATATTGTTCTACAATTTACTTTCTTTTGATTTCGCATACTTTGTTCATACGGTTTTTTTGCAGAGATTTTGGTGGTTGATTAATCGCAGGGAATTATTAATCCTAACTTGACATTATTATAAATACTTACTTATCCTTTTTTTTCTCTATAAATATTTCCTGAATTTTCTGAAATTTCTGAATTTTCTGAAATTTCTGGATTTTCTGAATTTTCTGAATTTTCTGAATTTTCTGGGTTTCTGAATTTTCTGAATTTTCTGAATTGAATTTCTGAATTTTCTGAATTTCTGAATTTTCTGAATTTTCTGAATTTTCTGAAATTTCTGAATTTTCTGATTTCTTGAATTTTCTGAATTTTCTGAATGTTTTCCTTTTAAATTAAATTGTAAATTCTGAGTTTTCTGAAATTTTTGAATTTTCTGAATTTTCTGAATTTTCTGAATTTTATGAATTTTCGGAAATGTCTGAAATTTCTGAGTTTTCTGAATTTTCTGATTTTTTCTGAATTTTCTGAATTTTCTAAATTTTCCTTTCCAGGAAGTATCCTGCAGAGAACTATTCCCTACATTTTTTTTCCTTTCCAGGAAGTATCCTGCAGAGAACTATTCCCTACAAATTTTTTCCTTTCCAGGAAGTATCCTGCAGAGAACTATTCCCTACAATTTTTTCCTTTCCAGGAAGTATCCTGCAGAGAACTATTCCCTACAAAATGGAAGTATCCTGCAGAGAACTATTCCCTACATTTTTTTTCCTTTCCTAGGAAGTATCCTGCAGAGAACTATTCCCTACAAAATTTTTCCTTTCCAGGAAGTATCCTGCAGAGAACTATTCCCTACAAAAGTTTTCCTTTCCAGGAAGTATCCTGCAGAGAACTATTCCCTACAATTTTTTTCCTTTCCAGGAAGTATCCTGCAGAGAACTATTCCCTACAAATGTTTTCCTTTCCAGGAAGTATCCTGCAGAGAACTATTCCCTACAATTTTTTTCCTTTCCAGGAAGTATCCTGCAGAGAACTATTCCCTACAAATGTTTGCCTTTCCAGGAAGTATCCTGCAGAGAACTATTCCCTACAATTTTTTTCCTTTCCAGGAAGTATCCTGCAGAGAACTATTCCCCACTCCCCACACAATTTTTCCTTTTCAGGAAGTATCCTGCAGAAAAAATGTCCCTACATTTTTTTTTCCTACCATTTTTTTTTCCAAATAGGCGCCTTCAGAGAATTGTTCTTTAGCAGCATATTCCTGTTCAGGAAGGTTTCGTCAGAAAAGTAGTGCTCTGAGACAATATTGTTTCGTCGAAAATCAACATTCCTGCGAATCTATCAAACACACATAAAAATCAAATTTCACTTCTTATCACTTCTTTTCGCTTATTTTGGCTTATTTTTGACTAATATTCTACTATATTTGCTTATATTTTCCTTATTATGTTATAAGTTCACCTAAAAATTTAGTGGAACTTATAACAAAATATTTTTGAAAAAACAATTTGAACAAGATATTAGAAGGATAATAGTAACTTATAGTATACTTATAAATTCATTAAGTGCCTAAAGTGCAAATATTTGCATTTTGTGGTCTCAGTGCACGAGGCGAAGAAGAAGGGAAAGCACCACACCGTTGAAGCTTAAAGGTGCTCCAGAGAGTCTTGAATGCATTGGCTAAGTTTTGTAAAGTCCACGACCTCAAACCAAGTAATGTCGGCCCCAGTTCCAAGCATGATATGTTCCAACGTGTCCAATTGACCGCAATGCTTTTTTCACACGGTTATGCCAGCTCCTGCGTCATGAGGGCATCGCCCATTAGGCCGCCCACCCACACCCGCCCTTCAGGCGCCATCTCGTCCGAGTTATGCGGGATGAAGGGCACAGCTTTAACCGCCTTTGCAACGCTTGAACCAAAGGGAATTCAACACATGCTCGCTGCATCCCTGGCCTGGCAAAGGGCCTCCAATGTCTCATCGGAGACCCGAGCCACCGGCTCGGACAAGTAGATCACCAAGATGTGATCTCCGGACCGGCCGCACATGACCTCGATTGAGCGCCCAAAAGTGTCAAGAATGGTGCAAGTGACACAATGTTTGCCAGCCTTTGCTGCGTCCACCGGCAGCTCTGGTGGAAGAGCTGCTGCCCAGTTGAAATCGGACCGCAGCACCTGTCAAGCGCGCATTTTTAACAAAATAAATCCAACTCGTTATTTGAACTTTCCCTTCCCTTGCCTTCCACAATGCCATCATCTAAAATCTAACTCTTTATTTAAACTTCCCCCCCCTTGCCTTCCACAATGCCATCATCTAAAAATCTAGCTCTTTATTTAAATTTCCCCCCCTTGCCTTCCACAATGCCATCATCTAAAATCTGACTCTTTATTTAATTTTTTCCCCCCCTTGCCTTCCACAATGCCATCATCTAAATCTGATCTTTATTTAACTTCCCCCCCCTTGCCTTCCACAATGCCATCATCTAAAATCTGACTCTTTATTTAAACTTACCCCCCCTTGCCTTCCTCAATGCCATCATCTAAAATCTAATTCTTTATTTAAACTTTACCCCCCCTTGCCTTCCACAATGCCATCATCTAAAATCTAACTCTTTATTTAAACTTACCCCCCCTTGCCTTCCACAATGCCATCATCTAAAATCTACCTCTTTATTTAAACTTTACCCAGCCTTGCCTTCCACAATGCCATCATCTAAAATCTGACTCTTTATTTAAACTTCCCCCCCCTTGCCTTCCACAATGCCATCATCTAAAATCTACCTCTTTATTTAAACTTTACCCAGCCTTGCCTTGCACAATGCCATCATCTAAAATCTAACTCTTTATTTAAACTTAACCCGCCCTTGCCTTCCACAATGCCATCATCTAAAAATCTAACTCTTTATTTAAAATTTCCCCCCCTTGCCTTCCACAATGCCATCATCTAAAATCTGACTCTTTATTTATTTTTTCCCCCCCTTGCCTTCCACAATGACATCATCTAAAATCTGACTCTTTATTTAATTTTCCCCCCCCCTTGCCTTCCACAATGCCACCATATAAATCTGACTCTTTATTTAAACTTACCCCCCCTTGCCTTCCTCGATGCCATCATCTAAAATCTAACTCTTTATTTAAACTTAACCCTCCCTTGCCTTCCACAATGCCATCATCTAAAATATAACTCTTTATTTAAACTTCCCCCCCTTGCCTTCCACAATGCCATCATCTAAAATCTAACTCTTTATTTAAACTTACCCCCCCTTGCCTTCCACAATGCCATCATCTAAAATCATCAGCCGTAGTCGTAGTCGTAGTCGTAGTCATAGTCTTAGTCGTAGTAGTAGTAGTAGTAGTAGTAGTAGTAGTAGTAGTAGTAGTAGTAGTAGTAGTAGTAGCAGTAGCAGCAGCAGCAGTAGTCGTAGTAAAGTCGTCTTCGTAGTCGTAGTCGTAGTCGTCGTCGTCGTCGTCGTCGTCGTCGTGGTAGTAGTAGTATAGTAGTAGTAGTAGTAGTAGTAGTAGTAGTAGTAGTAGTAGTAGTAGTAGTAGTATAGTGGTAGTGGTAGTGGTAGTGGTAGTAGTAGTGGTAACTATAAGCGAGGTACAAGCGAGAAAAAAACGGAGGTACAAGCAAGAAAATTTTGGAGGTACAAGCGATGCGCCGACCCAGCGGTGCACACTGAGCTGGGAAGGTCCCAGGTTGAGGTCCAGCAGTGCACACTGAGCTGGGAAGGTCCCAGGTTGAGGTCCTGCGGTGCACACTGAGCTGGGAAGTTGGCAAAGAGCTTGCGAAGAGAGTTGGCAAAGAGCTTGGCGAAGAGTTGGCAAGGGCGGAAGTGGAGGTGGAAGTTGATGCAGACATGGTCGAGGAGAAACTGAGGAGGAGGCGGAGGAGGAGGAGGAGGAGGAGGAGGACAGCTAGCCGAGGAGGAGAAGAACAACTCTGATAAAATCTAACAACCCTCACCTGGCAGGTGGGGAAAAAATGAAAACCACTTACCCTCCAGTAAATCAACACTTCGACCCTGGCATTCATCGGGGTTGGAAGATTGGTTTTTTCAGGGTCTATTGTAATTTACCAGAAGATACCGGGGATATAATGGGAGTATACTACGTTTTTTTTGTGATCGGTCGGGGATACCCCGCACAATTGTAGTTTGATAGGGATACTTGATGATTATATAGGTTCTATTGCGATGTCAATATCTGTCAAATATGTCCTAATATCATATCCCCTACAAGTATGTCCTTGATCAAAGAAAACCAAAATACATCAAAATAATTCAAAATACATAGACTAAGACCCTCCAAATACACCCAAAAAATGCTTAAAGTCAAAGCACTAGAATTCTTAGGGGTAAAACAGCACTTTTTTAGGTAGAAACAGAGTGTCTGACAGTTATGGCCCGAAATACCAGTTTTAAGTACTAACAAGACACCCCATGTATAGAATGTTTCTCATCCCATAGAAATCACCAGTTATAACAGCCATGGCCATAACTGTAGGTATATCCCAGAAAGTCATGTCCTGCGATCCAAGGCACACTTGCAACGCCGTCATGGTGCGCTCCAACCACACCGGCAAGGTGGCGCCATCCGCACCGGTCCAAGAGGAACTGCCCACCTCTGAGCCGCGGAGTATCATTAGATTTCACGAAAGTTAGGGATTTCCAAAATGGTTTGCGAATGGAAAATCCTGGGATGAATGAAGATGATTCCCTATGGATCCAGCCGTACCTTCTGACAGGAAGTGGGACTGGGGTATCATTTGCTATGATTTGGAGGGTTAGCCTTACCTTCTCAGACAGTGGCCATGGATCCATAGGGATTGAAATTCCTAAACAAAAAATATGGTTTAAGTTAATGATTGAGAGGAAAATTCGCCGAAAAAAATGATTTCTGGACATATATGGACATGTTAGCCACATGGTTAGTAACTTTACTCTAAGATCAGATAGAAAAAACAGCTTAATTAGCAATTTTTTGGGAACAAATCGCTTTTGTTTTTTTTCGAACTTGATAACATTCTTGGATTTTGTGACATTTATATATGTTGTAATTAAATCTATAGATGGGAATTCGCGATTTCTATGGAAAATCTCTGCGTCAAATCCCAGCGGCCGGGCCGTCCGTCTCCAGCCTCTTCGTGATCAAATGACACGGCAATGGCCACGTCCTGTGAGGCGGTTCTGCAGCTTCCGCGAGGCTTCAGATCACAAAAACCACCGCGAAGTCCACAAAGATGGTGGACCACATATAAAATTCAGGTCCCATGTCCCATTGGTCAGAAAATCTAGGTCATTCTACGGAAAATCCCATGTCGACATGTCCAATTGGGATGATATTCAAGCACTTTCTGCCGGATATTGCAATTGAAAATCTAGGTCCCAAAATGGCCAAGTCGGACTGGGCAACATGTCCGTCACTGCCAGGTGAACCTCAGAAAACATAGGCGTCTTAACCAACTATCAAACAAATCCAGTATCAATTCCCATGGCTCTTGGTTCAATCATGTTCAATCCGTTGAAGTCCCCATTATTGTTACTTAAATCGATTTAGATCACAATGTTGTTAGCTATCTTTCTAGGGCCCTCCATCTTGTACACTCCCTCCGCCGCATCACCGCTGTTTCCGAACTAAATCACTCGAGAAATCTGCCTTCGCCGTGGCGACAGCGCTGTCGTCACTGGCGAACTCGCAAATGCCCTGGGGAACAAAACAAGTAATGCTGTGGTGACAACAGACATATTGGCATATTGGTCATTGAATTGCCCATAAATATGAGGATGATAGTGGATTGATGTTTGATTTCTGATAGGGAAGTTTTTTTACAGTATATCCAGGGTCAAAACTAGAGTAACTAGAGCTGGAGTTAATGTTGGATGATCGATCCTTTGGGTATTAGTGAACCAAACAGATGGGTCCTTTTATCTTTGTGGGTATAATCAATATTTGCATCTTGGGATGTGAACATACAAAGAATTCCCAATTCAAATCGGAAGTGCCAATCCCATAGTTACCATAGGCCCTACAGCGGGGGCTCCCGTTGAGGTGTTTTTTTGGGGGGGAGCGTGATAAGTTCGAATTCCCATAAGTCTGGAAATAATCCCTATAACAAATTAGCGTACTATGGATATATTATACCCCAGGCAAATGGAACTACACTCCATATTAGGTACCCGTTGATCATCATTGATCATTGGAATCAAGGGGAACATTCTGTCTAGGGAACATCACAGCCACTCAATTTTCTTAGGATTTCTGTGCGGTCTCAGATGTAATGGAAAAAAACATCGCGTGAAAGTCACTAGTCATTGGTCATTGAGCTGGTTGTGATACAGTTCGACCCTGAGAATCACCAGTTTCAAATGGAAACGATTCTTCCAACCCCAATGACTGCCAGGGCCTTTTGGTGTTAATTTACTGGAGGGGAAACATCTAGAAGGAACATGATCTACCAGACCAGCGGATTGAGGTTGGCTTAGCCTCTAATGCTCCCCCATTTTTACCTCGGATGCTGATACCTCGACAAGGGCCTGGGTGGAGCCACCATGGGGATGTGGGGATGTGGGGATGTGGGGATGTTGACACATAACAAATGCCTTGGGGATATGAAGGGATATCAAAGGTGTGCTGCCACTAATAGGGAAAGCTGGATAAAAACCCCCGGTAGGTGACATCTAAAATTCGAGGGCATAGACTAGATTCCCACAAAGTGGGCTCTCTCTCAGTTTTGAGCTTGTCTATTTCACCCATCCAACTGCAGCTATATCCATTGTAACCCTCACTCTGCCTAGTCGTTTAACCAGCTCAAAAAAATATTGGGCACAACATCATGGTGGTCTATATTATATCTATCCCAAACACACATCATAACATATCCTCCAACATATCCTTAAAAAAATATATATCTGTTCTTACCCAGCATCCGACTGCGACAGTTTTTGCGGCCTGGATGGCGCCCCAAGTACTGAGCTGATTATCGATGCGTGGCGAGCTGATGAACTCCTTGTAGACGCCCACCAGGTTCGAAGGCTGGCGAGGGTCAGGTTAGTGCTGAAGTTGTTCGCTAAGGGGTTAGTGCATATATATATATATATATACATATATATATATATACATACATATATATATATATATACATACATCACTAGTTCCTATATGTTCCTATCAGATGTGTATATTATATATAGATAGATGTATTAGCTAGGTAATATGTACAGTCAGCATATTTATATAATAAGGAATATGGGATATACCAATATACCCTGATAACCGAGGTTATGCCTCGGTTATGTTCTATCATTTCCTAGTCCAGCCGGGAGGATCCCTTTCCTTTCTGGTTGGCAGGATGTAGCAGCTTTTACATTAGCTTTTACAAAGACATGCAGGTAAATATGCGGCAACCCATCTTGCGATCCACAAACCATCAACGAGCTGCTCAGCATTTTTTCACTTTCACACTTGGCTGAAAATATGGTTTGCGCTGGCGCAACTCGAAAGAACTGGCTGTGAAAGGATAGGCTGAGTGATGCTGAGTGTCTTGATACTGCAATTTCCATGGTTCAACAGCCATCAAAGACATGAACAGGAGGAGACATTAAACAAAATGAATGACAAGATTCAGATATGTTCATAAATCCAATCCTTGGGGATCCTTTTTTGGTGTGTAGCTTGAGCCACATATGTGGAGCCAACAAATAGAACTGTATACAGCTAACGCATTTATTTTCATAGAATGTGGTAAATCCAATGCCAGAAACCTACCATTTGGGGATGGTTTATACATCCCATAAACATGGTGATTTAGGGCATGCACAATCGTTGGCTTTCTGACTGCAAAGTTTCTTAATCAGTAGAGAGACTCCTTGCCAGCGCACATCCACAATGGATCTACAATGTGAGGCCCCCAGTTGGTCTGTGAATTGTTTCATATTCTAAAGCAACTTGTAAGTGGGGGGTCCCACATTGTTTTTTTCCGGTGATTAAAAGTGTGAGATCAACTTCTCAATGTGGCCATCCACCGTGACCATGATCAGCGTTGCGAGAGATATTAATATATTCCAGGATGTGCAAGAGGATTTGCAAGCCAGACATTCCCAACAGTCAATATCAGTCAATGGTTAATTTCCAGGCTAGGAAAGCATTCTAGATTTGAAGCCCAGGAATGGCCGAGATTCACAGCAAGACCGACACATTCGTTTGGCCACATGCTGCCCTTCAAACAGTCATGGTTGATGATCAAAATCCCCAACCAAGTTAGTTTGCTTCGGGATTGTTATAGGCACAGTCAGTGTATGGCCCCATGTCTGGTCTAGTGGACTACCACATGCCTTTTGCTGGCATTGCCAAACGGGGCAATGCTGCAACTTTGCAGCCTTTAAGGCATCAAATGTTGTGTCACTGAACTTTTTGCTCATCATCGATCATCATTCCCACCAAATCTGGTTGGCACATATTGAAGAACAACATAAAGACACGAAGCATCATGAAGCAATGAATCCGCATTGAACATCTGACTGCTTGGTCTATAACTCCTTTGATTCAAGGGCGTCCCTGTCATTTGACTCCTGGAGCCCAGCAGAATTGGCGACGGAAAAATCCCGTGAAACCAGTTAAAACTAGTTGAGGCCGTGTCTGAGTCTTGAGGCTGAGTATTCTGCAAAAAAAAACACTGTAAGATTCCACCAATAATCCCATAGTTCTTTTAATGGCTTGTGTGAAACCAAAGGAGAGCTACTTTTTTCAGGACAAAAAAATACATTGGAAGACTGGAAGCCAGCTTCTTTTGAGGTGTTTTCATCTTCACCCTCTAACTCTAGCCATCCAGTATCATCCAGTTCTATCCCAAGAACTTAACACATGCCCCCCCATCTCCATCAATATCCAACCTCAGAACCTCAACATGCCATTGCACGTGGACTACACTTCAAACAACAAACACCGAAATAGAAACAAGTACACTGAACCTTTGAACAAAAAGTAACATTACACACATATAAATATATGATGTAGTTAATATATATATATATATCTATACGTGTATATATATATATATTGTATATATATATATATATATACATTCCGTATATTCCAATCAAACAAATAAAATAATTTTAAAAAAACACTTTCTAGCCATGCGAGTCCTCAGGAGGCCGAGCTGGCCATGGACCTCTTGGCCTTGCTTCTGGCCAACATCTCATCCTGGCTGGAGGATGGTGGATCTAGGTGTTCAACCAAAAAAGAAATGCCTTGGCCTGACAAAAGCAGATCAATGTGCGTTAGTCTTTAACATTTTTGAACTAGCTTGAACGGTGTTCAAAAAATCATGGTGGATATATCAACAGTTGGAATCTTACTGGTGCTAAACGCAGGGACTTTTCGGGAATGATCCACTGGCTAACTATCAACAATCATCCCAGCAACCCCGAGCAACCCATCCATCTTTTTGGGCGCCGAGATGGCGAGGAGCTCTGGGTACCAATGGAGCCAGGGGACCATTGGTTGGTGGTATACCTACCTACCCCTTCGGACAAACATAAAAAAGTATATAGCTATAAAACTATAGTTTACATAACAATGATAATATATATATATATAACTATAGCTGGTTGGTGGTTTCAACCCCTCTGAAAAAATATGACTTCGTCAGTTGCGATGATGACATTCACATATGGAAAAATAAAATTACATGGTTCCAAAGCACCAAGCAGATTATCTTCATGTTGCATACTTGGTGGCGAACTACCCACGAATCGCAAGTAGGTTAGTTCACCCCGGTTGTAAGTGGATTTTTACTTGGCTTATCCCTCTAGCAAAACCAGGGATATTAAACCTACCAGTGGATTCGTGGGTACGAGTGGATTCGTGGGTACGAGTAGTTCGCCACCAAGTACGTTTTGGTTTTCAATTATATATCCAATTTTGGTGGTAATTCATTTTGAGCCATGCCCATGCATGCAGGGTCTACAAGTGATTAATAATTATCGTAAGAACATTAAACAAAATCGAACTCTTCTGGGCAAGTTTCAATAATTCAAAACCCACAAATAAACCATCTCGGAAATCTCCCATACCGACCAGCATTTTCAGTGAGACCGGCTGGTGATTAGCCCGGAGTGGCCATGCAAGAAGTCAATCATATCGTGGCCCTTCGATAGCCTGCAACAACCTATGGTGAACTGGTTGATGGACCAACATCCCATCCAAAAAAGGCTGGATAATATTATATGTAGTCATGTTGGAAAAACACATTGACATCACCACATTTTTCTACATGATTCCACATGTTTCCTACATTTTTCCATCAGTTTCTACATGTTTCCTACAGTTGTCCACATTTGTCCACGTGTTTCCACATGCTTGACACCACTAACCAATTGACCAGCTGCCACCGAGCAGCCATCATGGCCTGTCTCGCTGCACGTTTCAAGGCCTGTCAGGCACAAATAATGAATTGTGTATGTGAACTATGTGAATATACATATGAGGTATATAACATATATATATATTATATATAGTATTGTGTGTGTGGTTGACATATGTATACAATTCTATATGTATACAATTATATGTATATATGTATATATATATATATGTATATGAATATTTGCCCATCATTTTTGCCGGCATATTATGGGTGTATACTCCATGCTTAACCATTTCTGGATCCCAACACACGATAACAACAACACCCCAGCTTGGCGAACACCACAATGCTCCCCCATTGTGGCAATGATGTGCTTATAGTAGGTTGAAGCAACCGTGATTAGTGGGTCAATCTAATCCACCTTTGTAAATTCTAGTTGGTGAACTATATCCCGTTCATATCCCATCCCATTAACTGCATATCATTTCCCAATGTTCTCATGTTGGATCGGAAAAACACAGTGAAAGTTACCTCGTTAGTTGATGCTCCCATTCCAATGAACATTCAGTGTGGAGATTTCCCAGCCGTGTTGACTGACACCGCAAAGTACTATCCCATCATATTCCCATAGTATCCCCATTAAACTGTCATTGTTGATGGTTAAATCACCACAGGTGGTGCCCCATAGTTAGCTAACTTGGTTTATAACTCCAATAACTAAGGATTATAATATATTGTTATAGTAGGTGTTGCTAAAGTTACTATGGTTTATAAATCAGCTTATAACTTTAGGGAGCACCACCTTGCATGTTTGATGCCGCCGGGAGAGTGCCCGAGTTTTGCTGCCTTCCGCGCAGCATTGTCCAGGATTTTGATTCGCAAGTCAAAGGCAAAAGGATCACCTCCAGAGCAATCTGATGATCAGACAAATCCTCAGTGGTTATATGGATTTCCCTAAAATGGGGGCACCGTAATAGCTGGATGGTTTATAATGGAAAATCCTATTGAAATGGATGATTTGGAGGTAAGGTACCCTCATTTTCGGAAACCTCCATACGTGATTTGTCATGGGAATTTTACGGGAGCATCCAAAAATGAGCATATAACATCATATAACCAGGGTAACCTACGAAAAAGAATTATCCTGGAATCTCATGAGGACTTAAGCATGTAAGAATTGAGATGAATAACCCCCCCCCAGATGTTTTTTTGCATGTTTGGCTCTGGGTAAAAAAAACACATGGTTTCAACATCCCTCAACAACCCAGCTCCAGGGACGATTCGCCTATGATTCCTCCAAGCTCTTGGTTCAGGTAGTTTTCCCACATCGTTTTCTCCTCGGAGTGGCGAGCCATAGTTGCGAATGTAGGGTCTACGTTGGAACTATCGTTGGATGATTGAAACTAAGCCAAATTAGAAGTAGGGGGGTGCTCACCATGTCCATATACTGCTGTAAGTTGCAGATTCACCCACGTCCACTCATGGACATGTTCTAGCTGGATAGTTTCCAAACCCAGGGCATTCTGTTGCAATTTGTGGTGGCTACTCATCTATAAAAGGTTTACATGACAGTGTAGAACATACAAAAAAAAGTCAAGTTTTACAATTTGGACAATAAATGTCAACAACATATATACATATATAATATAGTAAGTCATATCACCCGTAATAATATGTATTAATCTAAACCACCATTCTTAAATCCGGATAAATCCAGCTGGACCAATCTGAAGGTATCATTTATATATATCTGTGGTTGGCTGCAATCTGACCGGGTGCATCGCAACAGCAAGTCATTCCTGCCAAAATGCATCCGCATTGTGGAATCCTAGTACGACGTACTTTACGAGTACCCTCTGGTAAACTAACATAACTATGGAACATCACAATTTTTAATGGGAAAACTCACTATAAATGGCCATTTTCAGTAGCTATGTTAAATTACCAGAGGGTAACATATATATATATTTATATATATTGTCGCATCATCACACCATGACTTGAAACATTCACCCCATGTGAGACATCTAACGAAAAACGTGGATATTTTATCAAGAATCTCCAAAGATCTCAGTGACACTAGGCAAAGTGTATGAACCCTGAATTCACTGCTGGCTCGATGTATACTTACCCCTCTGAAAAATATGACTTCGTCAGTTGGGATGATGACATTCCCAAGTGTTTCTGGAAAGTCATCAAATTCCATGGTTCCAAACCACCAACCAGATATGTTTTAAGATAGTGGTAGCCTCCAGTAAATTAATTAACATAGACCCTGGTAGATGTTGGAAGATGAGTTTCCACTAAGAATTGGTGATTTTCAGGGTCTATGTGAAAATTTACCAGAGGGTATCTTAGTTAATGATCTTAATTGGTGAACTATAAGATAGTTGATAGATGTTGATAGTTGATAGATGTTGAACGTATGTTTTATGTGTTGTTTTTTTACAATCAACATCATTGTTACAATGTGGAGCCCCCCAGTTATACGTTGGCTTATAAACCCCATTGACTATAGTTATTTGCGTATCATAAACCCTAGTTATTGAGGTAATGTTCACCAACTTAGCTATCGTTTGGAGGCCTCACATTGTTATAGTATTTGATTATAGTTATAAGTACCAGAAACCATAGTTATTGGAGTTATAAACCATAAACCATAGTTATTGGAATTATAAACCATAAACCATAGTTAATTGATGTTCCAAAGCACCCGAAACGCCGCCCAGGCCGCCTCATCCCCACGCTGAATGAAGCTGCTACAGGCCGCCACGAGCGCCTCGCGGGTGCTGTCCTTTGGATGGTGAAAAGCCAGATTTGGAGCGGATTTGAACCAGGAATGATGGGATCTTAAGCAAGAAAATCTTGGATTTATATACCATATTATAGAAATTTATGGCCAATAAAACGCTGATATTGGCCAGGAAACATGAATTGACATGGTAGACAGGACCCAAACCGAGAAAATTGGATATAATCAAATGATTGCATATGCTCTGTGTAGTATGTTGTAGATACAAATAACGTTGATAGTGCTGATAGTGAAACCAAATCATCTTTGGTTTTGACCTCATGGTCTATTCCAATCTGCATACATGGAGCATATGGCTTGGATACAGGGGCTCATACGCGGTGTACAAATATGCGTTATGTATTACATATATACAATTTGTGTATGAAAAATTTAACGGGTGTATATAATCCGGATATAGGCATATATGTAATGTGTATGCATATAAATAAAGAATATGCAACTTCCCAAGAGCACAAAGCAGTTGGGTTTGAATCTGTGCTATATAGTGACTCTGTCTTCGTTTTTGTCTTCGCTGGGGATTTTCTCGACGCATGTATAGCCATTGGGCCAATCTTAGCCACCCAAGATTTAAAAAAAAACGCTGCTGAAGTTAGGTGAACATGTCATAACATCTCCATATGCATAACAGAAGATTAAAGTATTGAACAGATAGATGATATTAGATCTTGATAACAAGATATATTATTCCGACCAGGCTTGCGAATCGTTGCCTACTGCGGTGGTTGGTACAACGGCCACAGTTTAACAAATCAAAACAGGAGATAACAAGTTTAGCTACGGAAAAAGAAAAAAACAAATATCATTAATTGGTAAATCAACTATTTCTATGGGCCAGTTTCAATAGCTATGCAACAAATATGCAAATTTGAAATGCATTTTTTTTATCATAGGTAAACCAGCTGCTTGTACATATATGTACATATGTGCGTATTTGTAAACCACTATCATAGGGAATTTGTTACCAGAGGGTATGTCTCATTGGCAAAACCTCGGCCGTCACGATTCGTGGATCACGGTAGCTTGATGTTGGTGACGGTCAATCCAATTTTTATCATATGGTAAAAGTTCGTTAATCACATGGTTAAATGTGGTTAGTTATGCTTAATATAGGTTATACAATGTGCTAAATCCATAGTTAAACAGTTAATTGAATAAATTCATATTATGGTTGAACATAGTACCCAACGTTTGGTCCAAAGAAAAATCCGCAATCAATTTGGCAAAACTACATGAGCATTTTAGGGGCTAGCCATATTTGACTACGACTTAGCGCATCGAAAAAAACCAGGTGGCGAACGATGCTTTTGACCCACCTAGCTCCACCTACAGTAATTACGTAACAGTATCAAGTAAAGTGCCGAAAAATCACATGGTTTATCTTCATGTTCCGTATGACACATGTCAGAAACTGTGTTTTTTTGATTTTAGGACCCCATTCATACCCTCTGGTAGTCAAACATGGCAATAGAAAATCCACCATTTCTAGATGTTTCTTCAATCAAAACCTCCATGTTATACAGATTTTCAAGCCTGCCACAAGGAGGGTAGAGGTTATTACAATTTAATTCCTGAAATGCTCAGCTCTCCAGTCAAAGGTTGGTTTATAAACCCATTCGGTTGCCGATACATTCACCATAAACCCGACAGCTTGCATTTGTTTATTTCTACCAAGAGAAACCAAGTCATAATAAATAGCCGATCACACAAAATAACAAAAATCAAGACAAATACATGTTTTGCTTGTGATTGATACTCTCCCTTTGCTGGTTAGACCCTTAAACGCCGAAATACTCGAAGATGGCGCCCCACACGTGAAAAGATTATTGCTTGATAAAACCAATTTAATTAATCATAATATCATAGTAGCTACAATCACAAACTCTACCCATGTTTATCCCGATAGTTTCCCAACTTAGCTATCATAAATTACAAACATCCATGGTCAAGATACCCTGCAAAAAAACTTAGCTGGTGAGCGCAGATAATCCCATACGAAAAGACTAGTTAAGATTGGTTTCTACCCATCCAAGATTGACCTAGAAGTCACTCAACATCACTAATCCCAATATCATCATGGAACTAGTAATGGATTACTAACATATTTTACCCGCTTAGCTATCATAAATTACAAACATCCCCGTTGCTCTTGGGGAACCACCCGTCAATTTACACCGCTCCTGCGTTGACTCAGTGGTGTCATCCTGGGCATCGATGTTGGATCCCATGAGCTGAAGATTCCATATCATCCCATGATGTTTAGCTGCTTAGTTCCATAATTCATATATCATATTAAATACATATATAATATATCTTATATCATATATATATATATACATATGTATGATATATATATATATATATTATATATATATATACATAAATATATATATATATCTATCATATATATATATGTATTATACATAATGTTTATCTATCTATTCAGGTGATATCCCCATCTTTGTTGGTGAAATTCCTACATCTTCCCATTGGATACCAAATGAAGCCCTATTCCAAGTATTCACCAGTAAATCCCATGAATTCACCATGAAAAGACCTGAAAAAAACGGCAATCTGGTGATGATTCCTCAAATCCTAGCCATCATTCCAGTGACATGGCTAAAGGTCATCTGGATGGATCCAGTGGCTGGTTAGGTTCCATTCTATCCCATCAAATATCCCCATGAGTATTCCAATGATATTCCAATGTTGTTCCATATCCACTTATATCCTGTCTATTGGCAAAATCACCATTAAGAGCATTAAGCCATCATAAAGTCTCATTAGAGCCCCATTAAATCCCATTCAACCACCATATTTTGCTCACGTTAGGCCCCTAACTCCAGTAAAATCCCATGCAACCACCATATTTCATCATGAAAGCACCATTTTCAATAGGGATAGCTATTGAAAATGGTCCATTTAGTTCGTTGATTTACCTATTAAAAATGGAGATTTTCCATAGTTTGTATGTTTATCAGAGGGTAAATCAATATCCCATTCCCGCCGCGTAAAAAAACGGCGCACCGAGCTGATCCAGCGCTTGCCGCAGTGCTTCACGAAGCCCATCTGAGGTGAACTTGAACTGAGGTGAACTAAGGGAAACATCTGATTGGTTGGTTTTAACCATCTTGAAAAATATGAAAGGCAATGAGAAGGATTATCCCATTTGTTATAGAAAAATAAAAACATGTTTGAAACCACCAACCAGCTGAGGCTCAGCTGAGGTCTTTATGGGACCCAATGCTCCATGGTGCATATCTCCGCAAGGGGTGGATGATGGAAGCCAGGACTTCTTCAGCTGATCCCCAAGGAGCATATACAACACTGGTAGGAGCATCACCAATGGTTGGCGGTTTTAAGATGTTCTAAACAATCGCAAAAGACATCTCTACGATTCATGCCTTTTCTACGCTTGGGAAAACACTATTTTGGGATGAGTCAAAAGCTATGAAATTACCATATGACTGGGGGAATAACCATCAGCCAGCTATGACCATCCGGGTACCATCCGGGTTTCCCTGGGTGACCTGCCACACTCCCAACTAAGAACTACTGACAAGGTCTCCTCTAAGGTCCATCGTTGGTGATAGCTTCTGGATCCCGCTGGTAATTTGATTCAATTAAATCGCCATTTAAAACTGGAATAAATGATCATTTTGATACCATTTTGCTAGTTTTAAAAGTCTCAGATCCCTATGGAACAAATTGCCCCTTTAAAACTTTAGTTCGATGACTTACCCATGACAAAATGACGGAAGTTTCCATAGCGAACTGTTAGACTACTAGAGGGTAGGCTGGTGAAACAAACATTGCTGTTGCTGGATATACTTAAGTATCCCAGGCATCTTAAGTCGTTCATAAACAAGTTATGTACAGGCCACATAGGGAGTATATAGGGCTTATGAAGAGTTGGGGTAAAAACCAAACCAACAGACAAACCACACTGTAAGTTGGATGTCCTTTCGGGGGAAACACGTGCAGGCACCCAAAGTCCCACAGCGACTTTTACATGGAACATGCTCAAGGGCCCTGTTGGCCAGTTTGATCCCAAATGGTGGCGACGAAGTCGACATAGGTTCAACCTGGCAAGGGGCTTCTCGATTTGTCTGTGTCATCCAAATCAAGTTGACGGCGTCAAATTCACATTGGGAAAAGAGAGTTGGTCAAAAACAGCACCTAAGCTGCAACCATTGCTTCATTGTTTCAGCTGTAAAAATCCAGTTCTGCCAGTAGTTGTCGGCATGAAATGTTTCATTCAGCTGCACATGGAAAAATTGCATTGCATTCATCGGCAGGAAAAATTCCAGTCTGCCGGGCATATGTAAAAAAGTGTATTTTGCAAACGGTTGTATTGTAAGGTCACGGATGGAAACTGTTCCAATCCATCCATCTCGTTCGGATGGGAATTATTCCAGTCCATCCACCATCCCAGATCTGTCAGCGCCAACCGTGCTGATACTGACCCATCTCGGCATTCTCGCTTTCTCGTCGCACTTGGCATTCTTTGCAGATGTACATAGTGATGGGTCGTGCTTGCATCAGTACGTTGCAATCATCGAAGAGGTGGAAGCGATTCGCCTTGTTGATCGCGTAGACCTCTCTGCGGAACTCGATCTCATGGTCATGGAGCTCGCGCATGTTTGCACATTGGCTTGGTTTGCTCGATCCAGAGAATCTTGAACTTGGTAGATCTGCCGTTCCAGTTCAATCACTTCTTGAATCTTTGCCGTCAGAGTTTGTTCAACATCTTGAAGACGTACTTTGAGAGTTTTGAGCTGACTTAAGAACTTGTTGGCATCCTCTTTGTTTGTTTCGCTTGTATCTTTCATCACCTGCGCATAGCTTTCCAGTGTTTCGATTTCCCTTTTGAAGCTATCTTCCAGTCTCGCCTTGTCTTCTTGTTCAAGGTGTAGTTGATAGGATATGTGAGACATCTCATCATACTCAATCTCGCACTGAACGCTCTGATTGCGCTTGGCAAGGCGAAAGGCCACGCGCTTTGGTTCCTGTCGGAGAGCTTTCAGAAATCCAAGCAGCATCCAAACACAGAAACATCCAGTGAGGAAAGACATCACAATATAGTCACAAATAGGCGCATTGCATCGTCGGACCATGAAGCTTCATCAGAGGAAAAACCGGTCACGGGCATGATGTGAGAGATGAAAATCAAATGAGCTAAACCACCTACTTTGCAAGCAGATTTTGAGAGGGCAAACTTGCGGGCAGTTGCTTCTCGTTGTTGTTGTGTTTTCTTCTTTGCTGCAACAAAATCTTCATCTGCTTGCAATTTGAACATGTGAATTCTAAGGCGGCCAGTGGGCAACTGACGTGCTGAGGGTTTGGTTATGCCATCAGCATACTGTGCTTCACTTGAAACCCATCGCAAAAGTGTTTGGCACTCTTGCATCTTTTCTTTCACAATCATCACCTCAATCTTGGTTCGTTTGTCACCCGAAAGCTGAGGAACTTCTGCACGAATTGAATCGTACAGAGCTTTTGCATCAACCACTAAAGCTGTTTTGCTGATCACCCATTCACCAGGAGACTGCAGGGTGTAGTCAGCATTGAGACATCCTTGGATCAGTGCTCGGGTATATTCCAAACTATCCATTGCAGCTGCGCATGCTTGAGATTCAGAGTTCAAAGAGCTTCGGGACACCCTGGGCAAACGAAAACTTCTCCAATCCAAAATGATGTAGTTGGTGGTTTCACCATCCAGGATTTCTTTCGGAGCAAGCATGAGAAGGTAACCACCTTGGCTGTGGCCTTCACGTCGAATTCCCCAAGAGACATCGCTCATTGCAACCAAAACCATATCTGAAATCTGACCAAGTGGACGAAATTGGAGTCCAACATCCTTGTTCACGTTGGAATTTTTTAGGGCTTTGTTTGCATGAGAGACTGTTGCACCAAGTTGAGGGGCAGTTTGAGTGCTGGGCCATTGAAGCGCACCAAGCACCGCTCGGAGAGCACTAACCTCATTCTGTGTGGCCATTGCAGAGTCTCGACGCTTCGGGTCGATGGTGATGGGCTTGATCTTGCTGAAGTAGTCAGGCTGTCCAAGATGATAGCCATAGGAGGTTTTCACAAACGAACATCCACAAAAATCAAGCTTCTCACGTTCAGGAATGTGAGTCCAGTGTTTGAAATTGAACTTTTCACGCAACAACTTCTTGGCTGAGTTGTAGCAAGCATTGTGAGGGTTGCCACTAATCAGCATGTCATCTACGTGCAATCCAACCAAACAACATAAATTCCCTTCAGCATCATGCAGTCTGAACAAACAACCATCCAGCTTGTGCTGAGTGAATCCAACTTCTTCCAGTCGTCGTCTGGCGACTTGGTACCAGGCTCTTGGAGCATCTGCCTGGCCATAGATGGGCTTGAGGAGGCGCATCAAGGAGTTGGGCTTGATGTTCAGCAACGTGCAGGCATCTCTGGGGAGTTTGCACCAAAGTTCACGGGCTTGTTGGCCTCCCTGCAGAAAGGCTGTAGCCACATCGGCACATAGAAACTCCCATTGGTTCAAGACACCAATGGACAGCAGCACTTGCCTTGATGTTCTGTTCAAAGTTGGAGAGCTTGTCTCAAGGCTACTAGATAGCAGGTCGGGATCGGAATATCCCTGCAGCACAACTCTAGCTTTGGCTTTTGTGCCACCTTTACCATCATCTGCCCATTTGAGAACAAAACGCCCTTTCAAAATGCGGCTTTCTGATGCTTTTTCAGGCTCAAGTTCAAGTTGCCAAACTCCATTCTCAAAAATTGATTGCAGCTCGGCCTTCTTTGCAGTCATGAAGGTGAGGCGGTCTTCAACTGTCATGCGGGATTCTTTCAAATCAGCCTCGTTGTCCTTCTTCTTTTTCAAGGGGCGAGTTGCAGCTATCCAGACTTCAGAGGGTGAGTTTTCCATGGAGCCGGAAGTGGACTTGCTGATCTTCTTCTTGAGATTTATGTATGGCATCTTGAGCTTTTGGGCAGCTTCTTTGGTGAGTGGAAACAACGTTTTTCCAAAGAAACCATCTTTGCTAATCTTTCGCTCGGCAGCAGCTACAGAGTCAACCATCATAGTTGAGGCACCTTCACGCATGGTGATTTTCAGGGCTTGCAACTTTCCCAACTTAATGGGGACATCTTTGATGGCATCGGCAGTTGGTCTCCATGAGGAGTCACGTGCAATGACATGATTTCGGACCAGGAAGCCTTCTTCAACTGACCAAAAAGTCTTGGGTTTTTCCAAGGACAAAGGAGTTTGAGACTTCATCATAGGTCCAGCCATCAGGCAGCATGTCACCTGCAAACTTGTTGTGCTCACCATTGGAACTGTAGAAACCAACTTCGACACTGTTGAAGATCCTTTGGCGTTTCTGCTCAGAGTCATTCTTTGGTTCATCCAGGGATCTTCTCTGACGCTGGAAGTTTCTGAGCCAGGCCATTTCTCCTTGATCCATGTTGCGGCGTCTTTATTGGAAATTGGTGTTGCCACTGTCAGCAGGCAAAGTGTTAACTGCTGCAGCTGGCTGGTCATCGCTGGCAGGCAAAGTGGTAACTGCCACGTTCGGACCATCTTCAACTTCAGAATCATCGCTTGGAACAGGAGGTAGATCTTCATCTGCCGGCATCTCATTCTGCGGAATTGCAGTGGTGTTGGCATCATTGTTGTTGGTGTTGGGCTCATCGTTGTCGGCAATCACTGTCTCGGCAGGAGTTGTTGGAGCATAGGAAAATGGAGAGTCAGGAGGTTGTGCAAGTTGATCGATTTGGCGATCCATTTGATCGATTGCGTCATGGAACTCATCAGCATCAGCTGGGCTATCCAAGATCTCCACATCAGGTTCCGTTGCGGCATCATCTGCAATCGGTCCAGGAGATTCTGCATGGAGCTGGGTCATGCAGTTGAAGTTGGTGTGGAGGAGTGCCATGTTTGCGCTGTTTGCGGTTGTCGTCCAAGTCAAAGTCAGCATCATCTTCATCTAACTCATCAATTGATCTCTTGTTGGTTTTGTGAAGGTCAATCAGGCGGACAACTCGTCGCTGTCGTACTTGGCGCAGGGCATCCACAGGAGAAGACATTCGACCTTCTGCATCAACCAAACGTTTCACATGGTGTTGTCCAGCTCGAATCAGCACTGTTCCATGAGCAAGCCAGTAAGTGTCAACATTGCCAGTGTCAGGGTCAAGTTGAACTGGGTCAAGTTGAACTGCGACCACAACAGCAGGACCTTTCCACTTGATGGTGTGGAAGCGCATCTTTCGCCAGCGACCAGTTCTTCATCTTGGCCACGATACTGACGCAACAAGGCTCTTCGCAATCGGACATCAACATCGGCTTTGGCAGGATCTCCTGAAGGTGTTGACCTTCAGGCAGCTGTGGAGGCTTCGTGCACTCTTCAGACATCAGTCCAGGAACAGCAGGCTGTCGACCCATTGCAAGTTGTGTGGGCGTAAAGCCGTTCACAAAGGTGTGCTCGTTGAGGGAGGGCACAACCCAATTGAGAGCTTCATGCAAGGCATCCACTCCAGCGATCTCATTGTCATCCATGTAGATTTGAACAGCAGGCCGTAGCAGTTGATGTCGTCTCTCAACAACGCTCGTTCTTATATGAACTTGTCCAGGAGAAATCTTGAGCTCAATGTCATGGTTTTCTGCCCAAGTTGCAAATGCATCGGACCCCCATCCAGCATATTCATCAACTTTGAGTTGTTGCATCGGGCCATGGAACCTAATCCAGGAATGTTCCAATGCCTTGATCAGTGAGGGGGACTTTTTATCGGACACAATGCGGGCAGCCATGTATCGAGTGCATTCATCAACCATAGAGAGAATTGCCACACGTTTCTTCTTGTCAAGTTCAATCCACATTACATCAGCTTGAACCACTCGGTTGAAGTTCTCAGCACGTTCAACTGAGGCAGGGGACACACCCTTCTTGATGCCGTAATTTTGGCAATGGGGGCAGTGCAGGGATTGGATTGCTTCCCTGACCTTCTCACTCACTTGTTTGCCTTCAAGCAACTTCAGCAGCACTTCTTTTCGAGGATGGCCCAAGTTTCTTTGAAGACGGTGGGCAACTCGAGCTGCATGATATCCATGCGCCGTAGCCAATTGTCGCAAAGTGCCAGTTTCAGCATCATCAACTGCATAGATCTGTTGAGTGAGATCCTCGTCATCCATGATGGCTTTCGCCAGATGTTTTGCCAAAACAACGCCATAGTTTTCAGCTTCTCGGCATCGTTGGCCACCACCAGGCATGGAACCTTCAAGGGGGCAGTGGGTGTGATCACCTTGACAACGGCGATTCATGAGCTTGTACATGGACATCTTGGTTGTTTGGATACGTGTGGATTTCTTGATTGGCTCCTGAAATCCATCATCATTGATTGTTGTGGCACCATATTCACACTGATCAAACAAGGCAGCATAGCCAGGAAGAGTGGAGAAGGCTTTGGTCTTCCAGGCACGGCTTCTCTCAGGATGCTCAATGTGAGCGTGTCGACCTGATCGCACCTGTTTCCAGTATGCTTTGTGACACATGGACAAGTGGGTTCCGTGGTCAATCTCACGTCTCTCTTCCAAGTCAGCGGCATCAGCAGCACATTTGATGTTGATGTTTTGCATTGGTGACCACAACGTGCATTTTGGGGACATGAACATTTCATCAGGCTCATCGGTGTCGATCTTGTGGAGAAATGCTCTGCGGTGTGTGCTGAGTGAAAAATCCCAGTTTTCATTCAAACCAAAACGTTCAACATGAGCACCAAGCTTTGAGACTTCGGTCGAAAGGCGACCTGCTCCAACGTAGACTTCCCAGACCACGGGTGTGTTTTGGCTCGAGATCCATCTCTGGCCATGTGAACCATACCTGAGACTTGGTTGTGCACTTCAGTTGCTTGTTGATTGCACATGTTCTCAAGTTTCTTCACCGTGCATTCTGGCAAGGAAATTGCTTCTGGGAAATCATCATCATCGGCTTGGAGGATTTCATCGCTCATGTTGGACTTGTTGGCATCAGGTTGCATGAAGTTTTGCACCACTTCGGTCATTTGGGCATAGCGACTTTCAGCATGCATGTCTTTCAGAAAGCTGGCCATAGTTTCAACCCGATCGTGATCATCATCTTCACTGATGAGGTCAAACTGAACATCCATAAGTTCTGAGCCATGTTTGACTCCGTCAGCCAGTTTCAAAAGCATTGCACCACCTTTTCCGCGGCGGATTTCTTGCCAGTCACCACCCAGTAAGCTCATCCTTTTGCCACCAAAGTCAACCACAGCATTCAGCATTTCCAGAATTGGGCGACCAAGCAGCATAGGTGTGCCACCGAAGATCACAAAACATTGGATGCGAGCAACCTTGTCGCCAAGCTTTGCAGGCAATTGCACCATCCAACGGCTGACACTCTCACCATCAACTCCAAACTTGAACCTTTTGTCGCAACGTTTGAAGTGCAAGTGTTCCACGTCCATGCCAATCAATTCCAGCCATGTTAGATACCTCAGCACGTATTCAGAACCAGCTAAAAATGTTGAAGCACCACCATCCTGTATGCAAGCATCAGGTTCTACGGTAACCCAACTGTTGCTGTCGGAAATCACATGCTGAGCCATTCCAACGAAATTTGCACTGGAGTCAGCGGGACGCTTCTTGCTCGGTGAAGTGCTAGAGCTCTTGGTGGGGCAGTTGGCGGCCATGTGACCGAACATTCCACATCGCAAGCACATCATTGAAGACATGTGTTCACCCCATTCTTTGATACTTGACATACCCTTTTTGGGGGAACCTAATCCCTTTGAACCTTTTGATCCCTTTTTGCCTTTTGACTTACCCTTTGACTTCCCTTTTGAACCAGTCCTTGAAGGCGATTGACTTCCAGAGGCTGAGGAGGAAGCAGCAAGTGGGAACTGTTGACCACCAGCGACTGCAACCACAGGGAAAAATCCACGAGAAACTCGGAGTTGATTCAGCTGACGTTTGTTGTCAGCGTATGCAGCATAGACTCGGTCAAACTCTTCAGTGTCGAAGACTTCATCATTTGCAGGCATATCTTCAACTGTTGAGCCATAGTAGGTGGATTGCACATCATCCCATTCCTCTTCTTGCCAAAAACCTTCTTCTCCATCATAGTCAACTGGGTTGCCATCATCATCATAGGCAGTGTTGTCCCCGGGGTATTATTCTCCATCATCTTCATAGTACACCTCGTCCTCGGCAAAGTGGGC